TCCTTCCTTCCTCCCTTCCTTCCTTCCTTCCTTCCTTCCTTCCTTCCTTCCTTCCTTCCTTCCCCATAGCAATGTCCCCTCATAATATTGTGTAATCTCAGGGCCTGATTTTAAGGAAAGCATGAAATATGGCTTGGTTTTCTCACAAAGTGCAACAGAGTTGGCAGAACTGCAGTGAGTACATTACAGTGGTGCTGTGTTACAACAAGGAGAAAGATAAGCACCTGGGTGGCTGCTTCTGCCACAGGCAGGGAACTCTTCCAGTGTTTCATCAGATAGAAAAACAAAGCCGTAAACCCAAGCTTTTAATGGCTTCTTAGATTCGGTTTATCTGAAGCTGACGCTGTATTTTTTCTAATGCCACCCATTTACAGGAGCAGAGCTGAGGCAGGAGAGGCAGCGTGGATGCCCGCAGCTGATACAGTCAGTTTATTTGGGAGCAGGATAACATTGTGTCTGCAGCCTCCTTGCTCCTGGCTCCCGCGCTGTGCTGGCACGAGGTGGGGGATTGATCCAGCCGGAAAACAAGCTGGGAGCGGGGAATGGTCTCGTGGTGGCTCTGTGTCAGCGGCAGCAGAGAGCGGGGTTCAGCAGCGCTGCTGCAGAAAGCCCTGCAGAGCCCTGCAGGTCTGGGAAGCCCTGGGGGAGCTGCAGGAAAGGGCCAGGAGCTGTAGGGATCCGCAGCAGGGATCCATCCAGGCAGAGGCTCAGGGCTGCCCCGGAGCACAGCTGCCTTTTTGGCTCACAGGCCGTTTTTCCGGGTGGGTAGAGACGCTGCGTTTCTGTGCTGGTCGGGGAGCTGCTGTGCCCGGGCAGGCCCTGGGGCCAGCGCTGCCCTCCGTGGCGCGCGGCTCCCCGCAGAGCTCCGAGAGCAAAGGAGGAAGCGCGAGGCCTCGCTGCGGCGCCGCCGGCCACGACGGGCGCGCAGAGCCCGCGGGGCGGCCGGCGGCTCCGGCTGGGCGCCCTCCCTCTGCGGCCGGCGCCGCGGGCAGCCCCGAGCCTGCGCCGACGCGCAGCGGCAGGGAGCAGCGCTCCGGCCGCTGCCCATGTCTGCTTACAGCTGGGGCTTGCAGCCTCGGCGCAAGCCGGAGTTCCTCTCCCTCAGTAGGAATGGGCAGATGTTTAAGGAAGCAGCGAGGAAAGGGAGGGAATTCTCTCCTGTGGAAGGAGGCAAATTTCTGCGTGAGCGTGGTTGTCTTCTGCCAGGCCTATTGAGCATCCCCAGAGAGCACCTTTCTGGTAGCGGCTCCTAATGCAGCCACTCGTCCTCGGCTGTGGGCTGGGCCAGCTTCCTGAGAGGGAACGCGCGTGCTGCTCCCAGGGCTGCTCTCTGCTCAGGAGCAGGGAATCACCTGTGCTCCTGCTCTGTCTCAACCTGCGCCTGCCAGCGCGGTGAGAGGCAGTTTTCAGGTAGAGCACGGCTGAGGATGCGGGTGCTGCCATCCCAAACCTGCTGCTTGAGCCTCGGCCTCCGAGGGAAAACATTCCGCTAGAAATCCTGGTTGGAAGGAGGCCTGGAGCTCTTCCCGGTTTTGTGGCTGCTGCTGTGTGCGTGTTGACATGCAAAGCACTTTGGCCAAGGCTTTCAAATCTATCTGCTGATTTTGGGTCACCAGCTTGAGATAAGGCAAATCAGAGACAGGACCAGGCACTTCCTGAAAACCAGGCCTTTTGAAACAGGTTTCCTTTGATTTACCTGGCCTACACCTCGCTTTTCTTATCCGGCCAATACTCCCTGATGTGGTGTGGCTCGCTCTGGGGCTGTGCGAAGTTCACCTCTCAGGCTGAAGGATATGCAGAATATCCCAAGGAAGACGTGGTGCATGGCTTTGTATTCACTTTGATTGATTTCTTTGATCATTTTAAGTAACCTTCATTAGCAGTGGAGGGTATTAGATTAAATAGCTCTGGATGGAACTTGGGAGGACAGTAAAGGGCAATATTTAGTAGAAGACCTCGCAGTGACAATTTCAAGAGAAAATCCACTTTAAAAATACATGAGTTCCTGATGGTGACCTGCTGTTTTTCTTCCCCAGAGGAGCATGGAAAATATTTCTCTCTTTGTCATCCAGAAGTTTTATTTTCAGAGTGAACTGGATTGACCTTGTCCCATACTCAATCCCTGCTGAAGTCAAGTGCCTTAGAAAACCATTAAAACCTTCTCAGATGAGAGCCTGGACTAAGGTCCTGCACTGACTCTCTGAGTGCTGTATTGCTGCCTCTGCCACTGCCGGGTCTGATACCTTGGCTGCTCTGAGTACTTCAGTGTGCTTCTCACCTCTGCATCATCTGCCCTGGAGAACGGGGTGATCTTTGTGTTTCACAGCATGTGACATGGTGGCTCCCTGACTCCTGTGTCCTGGGATTTGTGCGCCTCTGGGACAAGGTGTCAGGGACAGCTGAGTGGGAAAGGGCATCGATACCCACAGGAGGAGCCTGTTCTTCACAGATGTCTGTGTTTTCCAACCGCTGATGTGTCCTGGAGCTGGTCAGGCAGCCCCAATGCAGCAACAGCAACAGAGCCCTTTGCTGACGTCTGTGTTTCTCCTTGCAGGTGGTGGTGCTCCTGGAAGCCCTGAGCTGGGGTCGGCTGGAAGATGACCGAGTACAAGCTGGTGGTGGTGGGAGCTGGTGGTGTTGGGAAGAGCGCTTTGACGATACAGCTCATTCAGAACCATTTTGTTGATGAATATGACCCCACAATAGAGGTGAGTGGCTCTGGGAAGAGGGCCTCTGTCTGTGTGTTTTCCCATTGTTCTTCTTCATTTCACTGTGAATCCAAAGTATGTTTGGCCTGGGCTCAGTCTGAGCCTGAGTGGGGATGTTTGTCTGCTTCAAAAAAACCTGTCCTGAATTTCCACACTAATTTGTGCCTCCTGCAGAGCAACTGCAGTGTCTGCTGAGGAGAAGCAGAGAGAGATGCAGTAAAAGTGTGTGTACCCTGGCCCCGGTGTGTGCAGCGCCTTGGACTACATGACCTCTGGAGGTCTCTCCCAACCTCAAGCGTTCTGTGGTTCCATGAGAGCTGGCAGGGCCCTTGGTAGCGCTGTGCAGGGACCGGGAGCTGAGACAGCACGAAAGCCCCTCCTTCAGACTAGATGTCAGCAGAGCGGGGATTAAAGGTTTGGGAGCAAAGAGCAGTTTTGTGCCCATGCTTCCATTTCTTCTGTAAAATTAAGTATATTGACTTCCCATGTGAGATGTTTGGAGATGCACGGGCAGAGTGGGCTGTAGCAGAGCGCAGTGGTATTGAGCTTATTGTGCTGCTGAAGTGAGTCCCGCCAAGCAGCTGCACCGTAGCGGTTTGCAGAGCGCTGCTGTGGGCACCGGGGCGGCTGGCACCTCAAACCGAGGTGAAGGCTGCCCAGTTTCTGCTGCGAGACCCCACCCCTCTGCAGAGCAGGAAGCTCATTGACTTTCTTGGCGCTGTCTCATGCGCGATTATAGATTTGTTCTGTAACAGGGAAAATGACACTTCAGCTCTTTCCCAGGATTTGCAGATTCTACAAAATAGCCGAGTGCTTCAGGAAAGACAAAGCAGGGGGGAGCTTCCAAGGAGACTGCTAGAGCGCCCTGAGCTCCTGGCCGGGGCCAGGTGAGTCCCCGCTTTGGTGAGAGGCACAGAGCAGGGAGGGAGCTGGAAGGACTGGATCTGTTTGTGTGCTGTTAGGAGGAGTTAATGATTAATACATTTGTCTCGTAATCAGCATGGATCACAGCACTTGCCTGTCTAGCTCAGTACCCCATCTTGAGAAGCAGCCAAAGGCCTTTTCCTCCTGGAGGTGCTGCAGAATGTAGTTTTCAATCTTCAGAATTCAGATTTCCACACTGCAAGTGTAAACAACAGAGACATTTTAATGCCTTGTAAAAATGTACTCCATTCTCCAAGTACTTTCACTGTTCCACTATTGCTGAGGAAATGCTGGTTTTACCTCCTGCATGATTTTACCTACTGCATGATACCCTTTACTGTAACTTAGATAAACAGGAGAGACGAGCCTTGGGAGAAAGGCAGAAATATTCTTATTGTCCTACAGATGAAGAGTGGAAAAACAGACCGCACTTAAAAGCACCTCTGGCCGAGGTGACATAGAAAGTCTGTGGCAAAGCTTGGAATTTAACTAGGGCTCCCGAGCCTCAGGGCTGCACCTGCCTCTGAGATCCAGCCCTCTTCTTGCCCAGCTCCTCTGCCCTCGCTCCTGCTCTTTATTCATGGCTTCATACGCAGGGTAAAACATATCAACTTGTGGGGAAATTCAGGAGGGACTTGGCTGTGGTGGCGCCCTGCGGAGCCCGGCACGAGTGACGCGCTGCGGGCAGCCCAGGCTCCCAGTGCTCCCTGTGCCGGCTCTGCCCGGGCAGGAGGGAAGCACTCGCTCCTGTGCCTGACGTGTCTGCTCTCCTGCTGGAGTGCCCAGGAAAGCTATGCAGAGCATTAATGCCTGTTTGCTTTAGTTGGTGGCCAGGCTGAGCACTTGAAAAGTCTTTTTTTTTGAGCTGAACAAACCTTTTTATTTGTCCAACACTAATATTATTTCTGCATTTTAAGTGCTCTCAGCCCCCAAATACTGTTTCTAAACAGACTGACTTGCTTAGAAAACATGAGCTTTTACATAAACAGCAAAAATCTGCTATTTTGTTTTCCTGCCTGTGGCTGCTTGCTGCAAGACATTGCAGTGCCCTCAGATTCCCACTTTCGAGGGGGCCTCCATCCCATTTCCTCCCCGTGCCGGCACTGGGGGTTTATGGTGGTGGCCTTGTCCCCTCCGGAGGAGGGTGGGACGGGACCGTGGGGCCTTGCTGTGCAGGGCCCTTGTGCAGCAGGACCCTGCACCCTCGCCCAGCCTGAGCGCCTCGGTGCGGCCTCTGCAGCGTCTCCCTGGGCAGCTGCTCCAGGTTGTTCTGCACAAAAGAGCTGCGCCTCAAGAGCGACCTCCCCGGGGAAGCGCCCGCATTAAGGGGTCAGGGAGCAGCACTGTGAGCACCGGGAGGGGAGGGAAGGAAAGTCCCATCTCCCTTGAACCTGGGGCAGGCGGACGCAGCTCTGACACCGAGTGTTGGGCTGGGGCCTCCTTTTCACCAGCTGGTGCTGCTGGATTTGCTTGCAGCCGCCTGCCCCCACTCACATGCACCCTGTTGGGAATTTTCTCCATGTAAACACACAGTGGGGAATGTAAACCTTGCCTGGCATTTAGCAGCACGCCCTCCTCTCCCTGCCTGCCCCTGCCGCTCTGTGCAGCTCGGGTGGGTGCCCTCGGAAGCGCTGCCCTCCTCCCTCCCTGACCAACACCTTCTCAAACGGCTCCCTTTCCATTAGACTTCATTTTCTGGGGATTTAGGATGTGCAGGGATGAATGTGACCAACAAAATCCCCATCCTGTCGTGACTAAGCTTCTTGGGATCATGCCTGGGAGCTGAGTAAGGCAGAGCAGAGCAGTGCTGCGACGTGCAGGCTAAAGGGGGAAAGGAGGGCGACCGCGTGCGTGGAGTGAAGGGCTGCACGGTGCTGCTCACGCTGCGTGATCCAAGGCAACGAGGAGTGTTTGGAAGCGAGGGGTGAGCAGGGAGCGAAGAGCCCCCAGCAGGAGGGAGCCCTTTGGGGGCTGCTGGGGGCGATGCCGGGGGGACATCCCACTGGTGCCCCTTTCCTCGTCCCGGGCTCCTGTTGGCACCTCCTGGAGCCAGCGCAGCCTTGGGACCTGTGTCATGCCCAGGGCTTTCCCTCCCGCACCGCATCAGCTACAGGAACTGATATTCCAGCTGATCCACAGCACGGAGGGCTGAGTTGCAAGGGCAGGAGATGCTGCAGGAGCCTGGCGGCGGCTGTGGAGATACCGCTTGCTTAGGGCCAGGCTGCAGCCCATCAGGTCCTGACCTCCCAACCACTGGGGCTTCTTCTGTAGTCAAAAATGGAGCCGTAGGGGATGGGGATAAAAGGAGCTCTGGAGAACATGCCTTGAGTGCGACTGATGATGCTGCTGTGGTACTGAAGACGAGCGGCAACTCCGTGCGCAGCGGGACGTTCCCTGCGCCGCGGTGAGCGGGGCCATCGCGGGGACAAACCCCCGGCTGCGCCGCGGGCAGAGCTGGTGGCTGCGGCACCACCCGCTCCTGCGGCGGGGCTGGGCCCGGCAGCGACGCCGTGTCCGTGCAGCCCGCGGCGCCGGGGAGGCTGGTTCCCCGTTAGCGCTGCGGGCACGTGGCTGCAGGGCGGGATGCCAGCGGCTCTGCAGCAGCTGGAGGGCACGTGCCATCCTGGCCCGCGGCTGCCGTGCCCTGCCTGCTGGGGAGCGGGCGCCGAGGAGGGCACAGCAGGGCACGGCGTGGCTGTGAGGGCAAGGCGAGCAGAGAGGCGAGCTGGCCCCGCCAGCTGCGGCCGTATAGGTGGCATCTGGGCTTGAGTCGCTCCCCTTCTGCCCCGCCGCGGGGCCCGGCGCTTCCCTTCCTGGTGCTGCCGCGGGGCTGCCGAGCAGCGCCGGGTGCCGCGGCCTCAGCAGCCTGGCAGCCCGCTGGCCTTGTTGCAGTCCGAGGCTGGAGGCGTTGCAGCATGAGAAGCTGTTCCGATGTCGCATCACACATTTGCACCTGTATGTTTTTCACAAAGATACACAGGTTGTGGCTAAGAGCGGAGCGGCGTTGAGCTGCCGGAGAGCAGGGGGGCTGTTGGTGGGGCGCGGGCTGCCCCATGCTGCCCACGGGGCAGAGCGGCCGTGGTTGGAAGCAGCGCCCACGGTTCAGATCCCTGGGAGAACCTGCTCCGTGGTTTCCAGGCCCTTTCACATATGCCGTGAGCTGCAGTCATCTCCACCGCAGGGAAAACACACGGCTTCAAAGGGACCGCCAGGATATTCCATCCCTTTCCCAGAGCCCCTCTGGCAAAGACTGGATGTGGGAAACACCCTGCTCACAGGGTAGTTCTTGTCTTTTTTGATGTTTGGATTTGCAGCCCTGCGGGTAGAGCCTCTGGTGCGTAAGCTGGGGCCTGGTGGAGGTGCCGCCTCTTGGGTGATCACGGCCTCTCGGATCCCAGGGCGCCTCCAAGGCCTGGGTGCCCCACTGCGGAGCGGGGAGGCAGGATGGGTTGGGAGGAGGGCAGCAGAGGCCCCGGCCTCCGGGCTGCTCCTCCAGGGCGAGGGGCCGGCGCCAGGGGCCTCCTCAGCCATCAAGGCCGGGCGGGAGGGCCGCGTGTGGGGCAGGGCAGGTGGCGCTGCACACGGCAGCATCCCGGCAGCGCCTTCCTGTCCCTGCCTGTCCTGCCGGGACAGTGCCGAGAGAGGCGCGCTCTCTCTCTCTCTCATGCAGCCCGCAGGGTGCCCCGCCACCCTGCGCCCCCCGCTGCCTCCCTTCCCCCAGCAAACCTGCTCTGCTCTTTCTTCCCCGTCTTTTTCCCTTCCCTTCCACTTTTAAGAGCAGTGGAGTCAGTTATTCCATGGAGCTGCATCCTGGCCTCTTCCCGAGCTCCCCACGGGCAGCACCGGCCCTGCGACCCAGGCCAGGCTGCCCCGGGCTGTGCGGCGGTGCCGGTGCCTGCTTGGTGGCACTGGCCAATGCAAGCTCCCGTGGGAGCTCCCGGCTGTTCCCGTTCCGTGGCACTGGATTTGAGCTCGTGTCCCGTGGGTGAAACCTTTCCTTGCAGGCCCTCCTTAACGCTTTTCTTCTCCCCTTCTGCTGTCTCCTGGGCCTGCAGGATTCCTACAGAAAGCAAGTCGTCATTGATGGAGAGACCTGTTTGTTAGACATCTTGGACACGGCAGGGCAAGAGGAGTACAGTGCCATGAGAGACCAGTACATGAGGACAGGGGAGGGATTCCTGTGCGTCTTCGCCATTAACAATACCAAGTCCTTCGAGGACATTCACCAGTACAGGTCAGTAGCGGGCGCAGGCCCCTTCCCTCTTGCCGCCGCACCGCCCGGGCCTCCCTTGGGATCAGGCCTCCGCCTGGAGGCGCCGGCTCACAGCACAGACAATTAGCTCCAGCGGCCCTTCCCCCGGGAAGAGACGGAGCAGACGCTAATGTCGGTGACTCCAGTAAAACCCATGCGGAGGGATTGCTTGCGGCCTTTGGGGACTTGCTAATGTAATGGTTAAGTGTTTATGGTGACTAAAGAGAGAGCTGATCCTTTACGACTCGCTCCCTTCCCGCTCTAATTAATGGAATGGTTTTGTTAGTGCCATCGATCTCCGGATTTACCCCGCGCGGCGCCGGGCACTGCGGAGGAGGCAGTGGCGGCTGGGGAGGGCAGCGGGGCTGGCGGCAGCGCTGGGCGCACGGGGCGGCCCTGGCCCCGACACCTCGGGGTGCCCCAAGCAGGCGGCGAGTCAGGAAAGTCGCGCAGAGGTGCCGTGAGCAGCGGGATGTGCCGGGATGCGCAGCGGCCGCCGAGGGCGAGGGTCCGTTTCCCCAAAACACCTGGGGCGGCGGGAGCCGGGGCCAGATGCACTCGCAGGGTGGCTTCACTTCAAGGCCCGGTTTTAATCGTGATGCAAATCGCTGGCTTTAACCTCGCTTTGCATGTGCTCGCCGCATTTGCACTTTAAAAAGGCTTTTCCCTGGAGAAAGGCTCCTTCTCGCTGGTTAGTAACCATTAGGAGGTATCTGTTTTCAACTAAGTGTAGCCTCTGCACTAAATTTAGTACTCGCTTCTGCTGATCAGGATGTTACACCGAACACTTAAGTGGTTTTATAGCTTAACATATATATATTCAGGCTGCATTTCTATGTTAGGCTATACGAAAAAAGGATGATTGATTTTTTAACAGTGTGCGGTCAGGCTACTTTGGATGGAAATTTGAATACCATTGAAATGCAGAAAACAGCCTATAAAAATGCTTTCATTAGTTAAATAAAAATGTTAATAATCCTGGATATGTGAGCAAAAAAAAAAAGAGCTGTTTTGCATCAGAAGTTAAGTCATTTCTTAAACAAAGGAAGTTATTATCTATCAAGAGGGAATTGAATGGATTGTTTGCAGCCGTAATAGCCTTCGAGATTTTAAAAGTAGTAGATCTTATCGTCGCCCACCTAGCTTTAATGCAGAGGCTGGAACTGCAGAGCAAGCACCATGGCTTTGCTAGTTCCCAGTTGGTTTTTCAGCTTTGACTGAGTGGAGCTGATCTGGAACGAAGAAAATACTGTGTGCATCTGCAGAAAAGGCTACAGCTGCCAAAAGCTGGTTTATCAGCTCGCCAGGCTCCATTTGCAACCCTCTATCTGGCTTCTTTTCCCTGTGCAGGAGTATTACTTGACCTAACATGTTGCAAGTATATAGGTAACTGCTTGAGTATTCATCAGAGTTTAGCTTAAATCATCTTAAGAGGTTATGGTTGTGTCTTAATATAGATCCCCATAATTTCAGGATGATTTTTTAAACAGTTGCAGAGATTTGCTCAGCTTTCATTTCCAAGGGAGCCCAAACTGGTGCCGTTGCCTTGCGTTCATGCTGGGGTCACTTGGGCGCCCGTGAAGGCCCTGCAGAAGGCGGGTTGTAGGAGCGAAGCAGAACTCTGTGATCACTGACTGAAAACGGCCTTTCCTCTGCTCCGGCGGGGAGCCCACTAAAACTGCCCACCCGTCACTGTGGCATCTCTTATTCTTGCAGAGAGCAGATCAAGAGGGTGAAAGACTCGGATGACGTTCCCATGGTGCTGGTGGGAAATAAATGTGACCTGCCGGCCCGGACAGTGGAGACGCGGCAAGCGCAGGACCTGGCCCGCAGTTACGGGATCCCTTACATAGAAACGTCTGCCAAAACCAGACAGGTAGGAGGCGGGATGGGTTATCCCATCCCATGGCTAAAGTCTTCCTTGGGCTCCTCTGGCCTGCGCTGCTGTCGGGCAGGGGGCCAGGCTGCCCGTCAGCGCTCGGTGCTGGCTGCCCGGCGTGCTCTGCGCCCAACGCGCCGCTGCGGCCGGCATGTGCAGCGGCCGGCGCCGTCCCTGCATGTGCGGCGGCGGCGGCGCTGGCAGCGGCGGGACCGACGCGCAGCCCCGCGGGCAGAGCCGCCGGCTCAGTCAGCCGCCCGCTGCCGTGACTTGCAGCAGGCCCTGCTGGAGCAGGCTCTGCTGGAGCGCCTGCGGAGTCTGCCGGTGGTGCTGGGCAAGTACAGACACGTGGCAGGATCCCCGGGCATCTCCCCAGGCCTCCCCCCGCTGCTGCCGCTGTTTTGGGCAGCACATGCAGTGCACAGACAGACCCACGCACCGCAGAATGTCCGAGGGTGCTCAGCTCTGCGCGCCCATCGCAGACAGGTTCCTGGAAGGGCTTCGCAGCTTAACTGCCTGGCTGCAGTTTGGTAACCTGCACCCTCCGAAGCCTCCAGGCAGTCTTCTGTGGGTGTTTCTAGCTGGCAGGCGAATGCCTCTGTTCTCTGCACTGTCCTTTCTCTCATCCCCGTCAGTGACTCTTGGTGTGCCTTTTCCAGGGCGTCGAGGATGCCTTCTACACCCTAGTGCGGGAGATCCGTCAGCACAAGCTGCGCAAGCTGAATCCGCCCGATGAGAGCGGCCCCGGCTGCATGAACTGTAAATGTGTGATATCGTGACTAAGGTGAGCTTGGGAAGCAGGAGACACGGCGCACTTTCCCCAAGACAGGCCCTGCCTGTGTCGACCCCTGAAGGGAGGCGTGCGCCTGAGCAAAGGGCTCAGACGAAGAGACACGTCACCTCGCTGGCTCCTAACCCGCTTGTGCAAAGTGCATCGTCCTGAAACACGGGAGCAGATGCACTGTACCGTAAGAGGCATGACCCTAAGTTCCTTAGAAGAGTTTTCTCGCTGGGTGTATCCCCTGGGGCACTGGGGACTGATGCAGCGCTGTGGATTAGCCGTAAGGGGGCTGATTTGCCTGTATAAATAGTGTGGGTCATAGCCAGAACCAGTATTTTTCAGCCCGTGCCCAGCCTTGCTTGTCTGCGTTGGCTGCTCTTCTCTTGGTTCCAGCCGTGGGTTTCCCTTGGTCCTCAGTTTCCCAGTCCTGCTGGGCCACAGGGAGTGGAGAGCTCCTACCCACTGGCTGCCTGCGAGCGTGAGGTGGCCCCAGGCCAAATGTCCTCTGCTTTGGTCTGTGCGTTGGAGGAGCAAGTGCGGAACCGAGTCCTTCCAGAACAGCCCCAGAGCAAGAACAGCCCCACTGCCCCTGCCCCTGAGGTGCCTTTCCAATGGGGGAGCCTTCCAAGCACCAGCATGGGCAGCCCTTATCCCTTCATACAGCTGCTGACGTCCGAGAGAAAAAGCCCACATGAGGTAGAGGGCCCTGCAGGAGGGGCCAGCTGAGGTGGAGGAGGCAGCCGCGGCCTCTCCATCACTTCTCGAGGCAAAGGCGAGCAGCGCAGCCGAGCTCTCCCCGGGCAGGGATCCCTGGCAGCCTTCGCTTCCTCGGAGGACGTGGGCTGCCTCCCAGCCCTCTGCTGCCGGCGGAGCGCGGGCTGAGACCTGCCCTGGGGCTGGGCCTGGCACACACCGCGCTGCTCAGGGAGCTTCCCAGATGTTTGGATCACGCAGCTGTCCGGGAGCATTTCCTGCGGATGGGGATGGGAGCTGGGGCGTGTTTCCTGCCTGGCTCGCAGCTGAAGGCAGGAGGACAAGCCCAGGCGCTGCCCGAGCTGCTCTTGCCCTCGCGCTGACTGCGCCAGCCTGGCGTCCCGCTCGACACGGCGGGCAGGGAGCCTCCCACGGAACGGGCGCTGATCCACGTCTCCCCCCTTCTTGTTTCAGCTGACTGGACTGTGACTTGGAGGGGTTTCCGCTGTGCAGAGCGCAAGGAAAGAGGTGAAGCAAAAGAAGAAACAAATGGATTCAAGAGAGGAGTATGGCCGGAGCGGGAGAGGAAGAGGAGGAGGAGGAGGACAGGGGAGCATGAGCCCCTCCATGGACTATCTTGTATCTCACCCAGGCCTGCAGCAGACGACGTTTTTTTCTTTCCCTATCCCCTCCTCCTTTGGCCTCCTCCCATCCGGCAACTGTACAAAGCCACAGATGGAATCACAGTAAATTATTATTTGATGGTCTCAACAAAGGCTCTCGGTGGCTGTGTCCCGCTTCGGAGGTTGCTGCTGCTGGTGCTCTTGTGAGCACCGTCCGAGGGCCGGCGGGGGAAGGAGGGCCCGTGTGGCAAGGGAAGAGGCTGCAGTTTGCTGTCTCGGTCGACTGAGATCCTGTTGAGAACAGACCAGTGGATCTGAGGAAAACCCATCTACAGCCTAGTGGGTAGGGAGCCCACGAAGTGTCTTCTTGGAGACGAGTGAATTTTGAGGAGGTCCTGCGGTGGGTGAGGATTGTCTGTGCCAGGGCTGCTCCTTGCCAGCTGGCCAGAGAGAGGCAATGGAGGTGGCTGCTCTCTGCCCTGGGGGCTTGGTGGCCTCTCTGGAGGGGCCTTAGGATTTGGAGAGAAGTGTCTGCAAGAAGCAAATCCCAGGGAGTGCTCTGATTGCCTTGGGCCTTGTCTGTGCCCTCTACCACTAATTTTAGTGTCCCACCAGTGTTTTGCTTAACAGAAAGCGTTGTCCTTGCCTCCTGTGAGTCCTCCCTAACATGCATCTCCTCTACAAGAGCCCAGCTGAAATGTTTTGCTGGCCCCCACGTTTTGGCCAAGTGGAAGTCTGCCACCAGCCTGGGCTGTCCCCATCCCCAGGTGCTTGGCATTAAACATGGTCTGCGTGGGAGGTTGACGAGCTCAGATGTGATGCCTGGAAGGGAAGATGCATCAGGGAGGGGATCTAGAAGCTGCCTTCGCCTGAGCGGGTGCCAGTTTGTTGCTTCCTTGATGTGTCTTCCCTGAGCAGTTTTTCAAGCAGGGCAAAGGGAGGAGGGAAACCTCCTTCTCCTTCCGCAGTGCTGTGCTGTAACTTGGGGTGAGAGCAGAACAGAAACCGGTGCAGGTCGATGTGCTCAGCTGCTCTGAACGGCCTCTTGGCCACGGCTCTTCACAGGCACCTTGTTTTGGTGTAACCGCCCCCAGGCACCTACGTGGGGGCAGGACTGGGCCTTTCTGCTTCCCTCTAGCGCCCGGGGGACAGACCCCTGAACGCACAGAGGCCTTAGGGCTTTCCCTGCCTCTCAGCAGCCTGTTACAGTAGGTGAAGCCCCCTCTGTCCCTGCATGGCTCTGCACACAGCAGAAGGCTCTCCATGGCTCCACACGGAAACCTGGGTGCTCGGAACCTGTTGGCTAAGCTGGAAGCGTTCATAGTGCTCGGACCCATGTGGGCAGGAATGCTTCAGATAGCAGTGAGATAGCTGGGAAGCTCTCTAGCAGCTCATTGAGAAGACTCTCATATTCCTTCCCTGCAGTAACTGCATGTTTCCCCTTGGGCAGCTCTCCCACCCCGCTCGCCCCATGGCAGCGGCGCCCCGTGTCGTTGCATCGCTCACAGGGAGTGTTTTGGGGCTGCATCCAGGTGCCCTGTGTGCCCAGGCTGTGGTCAACCCTCCTGTCTCGCAGGCAGCCCTCCCTGCAGGGCCTGGCGCACGGCTGAATCCCAGCCCCGCGGGCCCTGCTGGGCCGGGCACCGCCAGCGCAGCGGGAGGAGGCTCCTGCCTGGGACACGCACTGAGCAGCCGGAGGCGCCGCTGCCAGGAGCGGATGCGCACGGTGCCAGCGGCCTGTGCCGCCGCCGCCGGGGCTCGTCAGCCCTTGCTGCAGCGAGCTACTGCACTGGGAACCTGCTGCTACTTTGCTAGAAGATTCTAGCAATGAGATGGGCTCACAACTACTTCTTGCTGGGTGGATTTCTTCAGCCTTGGAATAGCATCAGTGTTACAGTCTCATTAGAGCAAAGGCAGGTCTGGAGAAGGAATTGCTGGGTTTGGAAATAGCTAAGGATTCTTTCCTAGAACGCAGGTGTTCAGATGTACGTGTTTCAGGAATACCATCACTGGAAAATGAACACATTTTTCAGATGTTGCAACAGTTGAAAGTTTCTCTGTGGACGGGAGCTTGCTACCCACCTGAGTTCTGCTCTTGCAGCACGTGCTCAGGTAAGCAGATCACGTTGTTACTGTGAACAGAGCAGCTCAGCTGCGTGGCTGGGAGCTGTGTAAGTCCAGAGCCAGAGTTTGGCCACTTCACCTTTTCCGCCTACCACAGTGCTTAGCAGGGCACAGCAAGGCTGGACTGAACTCAGTGCTGGGATGTGAGTCTCAGCCAGTAGGAGCCTGGTCTCTGCCAAGGCCTCCGGCACTTCGGCACTGTGCCCGTTACCTTCTGGGGCTGCATGGCCCGCGACGCAGGACTGCCCCCCTGGAACCTGTGCTTAGGGGATGGCAGAGCTGAACAAGTCTGGCTCGGCCTGATGGGACCGAGGCGGTCAGGACCGACGTCAAGCTTCTCTGCCGCATTGTTGAAGTGTCTCATACCCTATTACAGCGAGGTTGGAGTTTCAGAGATCACAGCTGAGTCAGCTGACAAAGTTGCTTACAAGTCTTTAAAGATGCTGCTTAAGTGCTGGAACAAGTCCCAGGCCTTTTAGCATAAGGGTTTGGGCAGAAGCCCTGCCTTGAAGATCCGTAGGGTGTGGGTGCCTGCGGGGCAGACGAGGCCGGGCTCTTGCCCAGGTGGCAGCGGCACTGGGGGCAGTTTGCAGGAGGCGGCAGCCCTGGCCCCGGCTGCCGGGAGAGCGGCCAGGAAAGGGACACGGCCGCAGTGCCGGGGCGCGCAGAGCAGCGCTTTCGCCGGGCTGCAGGCTGCCCCTCTGCCTTCTTGCTTGCAGTTTGGTTGGGGAAGGAGAGGCCGAAGAGCCTTGCCCTCCACGCGTGTCCAGTGCACTGCTGCTAACACGCGAGGGTTAGTTTCTATTATTTTCACTTGCGTGGGGAACTCCCTGCTTGACCTCCCAGGGCATCAGGCCCTGGCGGCAGCCTCAAGCAGAGGGGGCAGCCTCATTTACCCCAGGCTGCTGCTCTGTGGCCACGAGCGTCCTGGCAGGGCAGCCCGAGGGGCAGCTCCCAACCCTTGCGGAGACGCCGGTTAGTCCTGCAGCCGGAGCCAGCCTGTGCGGCCGCGGTCACTGCACCAGCGAGGGGAGCAGCCAGAGTGGAGCAGCAGCTGGGGCGTGCGGGGCCCTCGGGTGAGCGTCTGGCGCGCGGCGGCCCCGGGCGGCTGCGCAGCAGGGAGCAGAGCTGCAGCGAGCGGCGGGATCACTGAGCACGGAGTGATGCTGCTCGGGCAGCCCTAGTCAGAGCCGCTCTGCCTCCCCCTCCTTCCTGCAGCTGTGCGTTTCCCAAAATGGGAATTTCCTTCCCTTCCCAAAGGGAGGCTCTACGCAGCTCCGGGGCAGTTCAAAGCTGCTCCGAGCAGCCCCTTCCTTGCTGAGCACAGGGCAACAGGGCAGCTGGGGCCCGTGAGGGTGCGCGGCTGGGCGCATTGCTGGCAGTGGGCGCAGGACGAGGGGCGCGCTGCTCTTCGGGACACAACACCGTCGCTGTGGCCATGGTCCTTGGCACCGCAGGGCAGCTGTCCCTTATAGGGAAGCGCAGTGATGCTGCGGGTGGCACCCCAAACGCAAACGGCCTGGGAACGCTGCACAACGGGAAGCAGTGGATGTGATAGGTGCTGATCGCAGCAGCTGCTTAAAGCACTTGAGCTGCAGCCGGTGCCACTTGTCACCTGTGGGGCCAGCGACTGGCGTGGGCATCGCTCAGCCCCGACCTGCCGGCAGATCCAGCACCGTCAGTCGCCCCAGGGCAGCTGCACCATTTTTTGCACCCTTGGCACCCTCCGTCCTGCCAAACCTCTTCCCAAGTCCCTCCTTGGTGCAGCGCTGAACTCACAGCCTGAGCTCGCTGTGGAAGCCCAAGCAGGGCTGCTGCCGTGTTTCCTTCCCCGCGGGATGCACCAGGACCTGGAGTGGGAGCCCCTGCAGCTGTCAGATGAGCGGGGCAGGACGGAGGCTTCACACGGAGAGGAGCAGCTCGCTCTGCCTGCAGGGGCGCTGCCTCTCAGCACGGCTGCACCCAGGAGCCCAGGGTGCTGCTGCCGCGCGGGCAGCGCAGCCGGGCAGCCGCTTTAGAGCGGCGTCTCCCCCGCGTGCCTGGTGGAGGCACCAGGCGCTGCCCTGCAGCCTGGGCGCGTTCCCCGCGGCTCCTCCGGCCCATCTGCGCCCTTGGCGGCGGGCGAGCAGCCCCGGCCCAGCTGAGCGCCGAGCCGAGTGCTGCAGGGAGCAGCGGGGACCGCGGCAGTTTTCACTGAGGTAAGAAACCTCCTGGAGCCAGTTTTATGCTAAACTTCTTTAACCAATCTCATTACAACCATGTAAAACACAGCACGGAATACTACGTACAGTCTGTCTGGGTCAGAGCAAAAAGGAACGACGGACTTGGTCTTCCCCAATTTCTTACAAAAAACAAGGGGGGAGCACAGATGTAAAAATGGTTTTAAGGAGCAATTATAATACATTAGAAAGAGTCACAGAGGAAGCGTTCCCCACTGTAAACAAGAACAGCAACTGAAAACAAAAGCCAAGGGCAGCAGATCTGTCAAAGTGCACAGAAGGGACCCGGACCCCTAACACACAGCCCTGCCATGGGCTCCCGCTGTGGGGCTCAGCCCAGCTGCTCAAAGTGCTCAATCACAAACAAAAAGCAACCCGCAACGTTTGTCTTTCGAATTAAACAGGTTGATCAGCCAGGTAAGAGCTATGTGGGGCTGCAAGGGCAAGGAAGGGACGAGCGGGCAGTTTTCCTGAGTTTGCTTGCAATAACACTGGCTTTGGCCACGGGCTTGAGGCCATTTTAAGGAGTTTGGTGCAGGAGCAAAGGGGCTTTTGGCCAGTGCTTGTCCCGCTGCTGTCCCCCTCTGCTCAACTTCCCTTCCTCGCCCCAGAGAAAAGGCTGAGGCCGGGCCGGCTCCCACCTCTGCTGCCACAGTGGTCTCTCTGGAGCCCCTGGGAGAGGGAAGCGGGCACAGAGAGAGGATCCGTGTCCAGAGCCACAGGCTGCTGGTGCACGGGCCCCATGCAGCACCACACGTGAGAGGCTGGCAGCACCTGGGCGAGCACAGAGAGGTGAGGGAAGCGGCGCCCTGGGAAGCCGCAGCTCCCCGGGGCTCTTGGGGCCCCTTTGCCCAGGCCGCTTCCCAACCCTGCAGAGCACGGGAGGGCAGAGCCCCCGCTGCGCTTTGCCAGCAAGTGCCTAATGTGGCAGCTCTTCAAAATTACAGCAAACTCCCCATGAACATAAGCACTGCAAAACATCCTGGCCACGTCCTGGCTGGGGCCTGGGGGCGGCCAGCCCAAGGAGACTGCAGGGCGGCCAGGAGGGAGGGCGAAGGGGCCGCCCCTGTGGTCAGCTGGCGCTGGCCACGCGCCGGGGCCGTGGCACCCTCTGCGCGCCCCACGGCGAGCGCGGGGCTCCAGCCCCAGCAGCTGCCCGGCGCTCTCGGGACCCAGCAGCTGAGGGCAGCTGCCACCTGTGCAAAACCCTGCCCAGGTGCCTTAACACGCGCACGCGTCTCACCCGTACGGGCACTCGAAAAAACACTGAACTGAGAGCAGTTTAAGCACCTCTGCCCTCAAGGGGGCCTGTGATGTCTCAAAACACAACACTCAGCGTCTGTGCAGCGCCTCTCCTCCACGCGCGTCCCCAGCAGCCGCTTGCGACTCCCCGTGGCCCCTGCGAGGTAGCTGGGACCATCCCTGCTCCCCGTGCAGGGCGGGAGGCCGGGCCGGCTCGGAGGCTCCCCCAGGGCTGCGCCGGGGCCACCACGGGAGCGGGGCTCTGGTGGCTCCACCCAGGGTGCCAGGGTGCCGCTTTCCACACCCGTGCCAGCATGAGCATGAAAGAGCCAGGGAGCAAGCCCGGGAGGAAACGAGGCCTCCCGCAGCGCCCCCACGTTCAGTGGAAACCTCCCTCAGGGCTCCAGGCAGGCTTTGGATCAGCCCAGGAGAGAAAAGCCAGTTTTGAAGCCACCTCAAACCTTCAGCGAGCTACTGCTCACGTTCTCCACCAGCATAGGAGGGCCGGGGGTTGCACGCAGGCCCAAAGGTGGCCCTACAGCGAGCGCACCCAGGCAGCGAGCACACAGACCGCTCAGCCGGCTGGCACGCGGAGCCTCCCCGGCCTCCTCCCGGCTGGGGCGGAGCAGCAGCAACGCCATCGCTGCAGCGCCCTTGGAAAGGGCTGCCCCGGCCCTGCGGATCCGGCCCTTGCAAAGAAAGGCCCTCGCTGCTGCCGCCACCGCCGCCTCCCACACGCGGTGCCTGCTCCCTGCGCAGGGCTGCCCGGCTCGGGCTCGCAAGCCAAGCGACGCAGCAACCAACCAGCCTCAGCTCTGGGCAGCCGGGCTTCCAAACTTTCCAGGAACAAGCAAAACTAGGAGCACTTTCCAATCTGTCCATAGAAATGAAGCCATGGATGAACAAGGCTGCATTTTAGTGCCTCTGGCGCTGGCAGGGTCTCCCTGCACAGCCCCATGTGCCAGGGCCTCCGCACAGGCTGCGTCGTTGCACTGACACAGCCCCCTGGCATGGGCGCCTCCAGCACGGACAGTGCTGCTCCAGCACCCCATTCCTCTGCCTGCCCTCCCCTCTTCCCTGCTAAAACGTCACCGATTTGGGCAACTGTGCCGGGGGACAAGGGTCTGCATTGAAATTACTGTCCGAGTGGGATTTGGTCACCTTCGGCGGCAGGTTTGGCTTGGGGCTCAGGGGAGGCCGCGGCGCCCTCTGTGCAGTCAATGATTTCTGGGTGCCCCTGGGGGCGCCCTCGAGGTCCTCTGGGGCAGCAGAGGCAGCGCCTGGGGGGCGGCCAGGCTCCGGCAAAGGCAGTGCCACCTGCTTCCTGCTCAGGAGGTCCTGCTCCGTGGCGTGGGCCACGTGCAGCGGGGTCATGGTCTTTACAACGGCGTAGGGGCTGTTCTTGCCCTCTGCACACAGGGAGGGCAGCGGCTGGGGGCAGCCCCCGGCCGCCAGCACCACGTCGCTCCCCGGCAGGACGGGCTCGCTGCCCCCCGACACCCTCTGCAGAGCAAAGGCACCAAGTGCTGCGGAGCCCTGTCCTCCGGGCACGTCCGCCCCGCGGGCGCTCCCCGGGCCGTTCTGCTGCAGCTTGGCAAGCTCGTCCACAGAGGCAGACTTGAGGCCCACGTGCCTGAGCTCTGCTCTGTTGAGCTGCAGCGCTCGGCCCCGCTTCTTGCCCCACAGAGGAGCCGTGTTCTCGCGGTGCTCGCTGTCCGGGCAGGGGCCGTGCCGCGGCGTGTCGGAGCGCGGCTGCTCCCCGTCCGGCAGGGCAGTGGGGAGGGCAGCGAGGGCGCTCTCTTCACACAAGGGAGCTGCTTGTCGGCCCTCTGGCCAACTGCACGCAGCCGCCTCGGGCTGCCCCGCTGAGGGCTCCATGCTGCAAAGCTGCTCGGGCGACGGCAAAAGCTCCCCAGGCGACAGCTCTAGCGAAGAGGCGGTGGTGCTGGAGTCTGGGGGGCTTGGCACGCGTTGGAGAGGAGAGTCCCCGGAGCTGGCCGGGGTGGCAAGGGAGGGCGTTTGGCTCAGGGGTGACTCGTGCTCGGCGCCAAGGAGGGGCAGCCCCGCTGGAGCCCGCACGCCCGTGGGGCCGCGCTCGGGCAGCAGCAGCCGGTGCAGTGCCGGGGACTGGGCTGCTGCGGGAGCAACGGCCGCACTCACCGGTCCTGCCGGGGCCTCCGCGCCGCCCGGCCCTGCCCCCCGGGTCCCTGGGTCCCTGCTCGCACAGGCACCCTCTCGGTTCACCCCACAGCTCTGCTCCTCACTCGCTTCCCGAGCTGCGGGCTGCTCTGCTGGGAGGTCTCGGAGAGTTTTCTCAGGCGACACTGCCTGGCCATCCTCTGAAGTCTGTTCCTCATCCCGGCTCCTTGCTGGACACAGGGGGCCGTCCGCCGCTTCGGCCGGGTCGCTGCGCTGCACAACAGGAGCCTGCCCCGCCACCGCTGTGCTCGCATCGGCGGCCGTTTCTCCTGCGGGGCTTCTCTTGGGAGAGGGGGGCTGCGTGGCCTCCCTGTCCGCGTGGTGCTCGCCCACGATGCCGTTCTGCCCGTTGGTCTTCACTGCCACGCAGCTGAGCGAGAGCTCCAGGCCCAGGGGTTTCCGTGGGAATTCCTCAGGCTTTGCTACAGGTGAGGGAGAGGGAAAGAGAGGAAACAAAGCAAGCTAAACGTCACCAAAGCCCACGCTACTTCAATGCACACCAAGCGCTTCACAAGACTCAGGCAGCTCTGGCCAACCCGGGAGCCCCAGGCGCCTCCAGCACTGATGCCCTGTCCTGCCCATTTCCCCTGCCCATTGTTTGCCAAGTGCTGCACAGTTCCCTCTGCTGCTTTTCTGTGAATTTCTAGTGCCAGGAGAAGAGCCCATGGGGGCTGCATGCCCTGAGGGCGGCCAAGTGCTGCTGAGGGAGCTGAGCCTCAACCTGTACTTAAGGCAATCAAAGAAGTTAAGCTGGTGGCCGCCCACTCTAGCCTGGCTCACACTGGCATGCTTTCACACATGCAGTGTGGGCCTGTTGCTAACACCTCTCTGTGTGATGAGCTGATCAGGAAACAAAATGCAACAGAAAATGCCATGCAGGGGACAAGGAATTCACGGGGCCTTGCTCACTAGCAGTACTACCCCCTGCCCTGCCAGCAGGACATTTTTTACCACTGAGTTATTTCCTCCTTCGTGCTCTACTTACCTAGCTACTAGTAACCTGAGAAGGTAAGAATGAGCCTAGTGAGGTCTAACCCAGTTTGAGGCCCTTTGGTTTTCTACCCTTATGAAGACAGAGCCGTGAGCCACAAGGCAGGACAGAGAGCTGCAAAGCAGCAACATCACGACACACACTGACCAGCGCGAAGCAGCGGGGGCAGCGGCGCCCGGGGGCAGCGGCGCCCGGGGGCAGCAGCGCGGGCCGGCCCCGCAGGGTGCCATGCGGCAGGTCCTGCCGCTTTGCTCTGCCTACCTGGCGGCGGGAGGTCGAACTTCATCTTGCGCAGCTCGCCCATGGACACCTGCAGCTGCTCAATCACAGCATCGTCCTCGTACTGCAGAGAAGCAGCAGTCTTCTCCTGCAGGAACTCCCGGAGATCCTCCAGAGACATCTTCAGCAAGCGCTCTGGGCAGCGGCAGAGAACACAGCAAGGTCAGGAGGGTGGCACAGACGGGTGCTGGGGCTTTTCAGCGCGCAGCACGGGAGCAGGCAGCAGGGCACGGTGCTGTCTGCAGAGCCAGGGGCTCTGCTGCTGCTGCGTGCAAGTCAGCGTGCTGCAGTGTGAGAGTCTGGGCACATCTGCATCAATTCTGCTTTTCCCTTGGGGTTCCTTGGGGTTGTCTGTCTCTTGCCCAGCTTTCACTGGCACTTATGCATCCCACCAGGAAAGTCCTCTGAGCAGCTGCTCAGCACGAGTGAGGGGACAACAACGTGGCTGCTGGTAGGCGTTTGCAGGCCAGGGGCCAGCCCCACCAGCATGGGGGCTATCTGGAGAAGTTCTCGCTGGCACCTCTAGGAGGAGGAAAAGCTCCATGTGACAGGTGGAACAGCCCGGTGTCTGCTGCTCTCCTGTCACAGGGCCAGGATGCCCTGATGCGCAAGGCTGCAGAGCAGCCCTTGGGGCCTGGGGCAGGCAGGAACAAAGCAGCTTCCCCCCTTCTCACAAAGCTGCCCAGCTCACCTTGAAGGCACCCACATCTCGAGACCGCAACGGCACCACCTGACATTACGTAAGGAGAACATGTTTGGGGCACTTCACAAGTATTTCAGCACCTCTGAACTGGGGCCATCACAGGTGCAGCGGGTCCCCAGCACCTCCAGTGCCGGAGCAGCGGTGCCAGCTGCTCCAGTGCCGGGGCAGCACTAAGCTCAGCTACCTAAATGCACAGTGCAGCCTTTGGAGGGCAGCACAGCCTCAAGCTAACACCAAGAGCCTCTGGAGCTGTGGCCACGTGGCAGCTCACCCATTCCGCTGTCAGGAGGGCTCTCCCGCCCTCCCAGGCACCCATGAGCAGGCCGTGAACCATCACGGCCCCACAGGGCACCACCCCCGCAGCGTGGGGCAGGCAGGCAGTCCTGCCGGGGCCTTACTTTTGTGCAGCTTGAGTATCGTGTACGCCATGGCCGTCAGGACCCGCTCTCCTTCCAGGATGTAGATATCCCAGAGCCGCAGAGTGAGAGTGAAGGGCGTCTGCAGGGAACAAACAAGCCCAGCTCGTCAGGCAGCTCAGAGACCTCCTCCCAGTGCGACTCTACTTGCACTGACTCGTGCGGTGACACACGCAGCCGTCAGCGGCATCAATTCACCCACTTGCACTGAAACACCCAGCAGAGCAAGGCACTTGCTTGCTGACCTGCATTCATCTAGAATCATTACCCAAAACTACAGAGCCACCTATTTCCCAGGGAAATGGCAGCTCCCAAAACCAGAGGTTAATCCAGATCCTCCTGTGACATTCAAGTTGAAATTTAGGATGCTTGGCTTCTCCAGAGTCTGGCACAACTGACCACGACAGCTCATTTACTGCAGATTACAGCTGTTTTAAGGGGTTTGCATTTTAAGCAGCTTCTGTCCAAAGAACGCAAAGCTCTTTATGAACGCAACCAATTCCCTCCTGAAAGCCAGAGCTTATCCTCTGGCTTACGAGATATAAGGAAGAGACTGGACACACAGATGTAATAGATGTTACCAAATCCAGATCTTTGTGCGAGCACAAGGCTGCCCCTAAAAATAAGGGAGCACTAGCTCTGCACTGCCAAGTTACCTCTGGACAAATCAGTGTAATTTTCTCATGCTTTCATGCGTCTCCAGTGCACAGGCTGCTCGTTTGGGTGCAACTGCCGTAGTGCAATTTGTTCAGGTTTCTGCCTCGAGCTCCTCTCCTCCATATGTGTTTCCAGAGCCAAAGTGAGGTTAATTGCCTCTGCAAGCTTGCAACAGTGCCAGTGGGCAAGAGAAAAACTTTTCCAGTTCAAAAGATTAGCCTCTTGCTCTGCCTTCTCCCAGCTATTATTTATAGTGCGCAGTCAAAGTTTGGCTGTCATCAGCCTTGAGTGGCATACAGTTATTTTTAGCTTCTCCCTTGTTAAAATTTCTGCCTCATGAAAATATGCCTAATATCCCAACTCATAAGTATTAGTATCTTCTTAAAACTAAGATTCCTTCCTCAAACTCAGTAGTAAGATAAGCAGAATTCACCGCACATGCAGGTGGCAGAGCAGAAAATAGCTGACAAACAGCACTCACCCGGTCAATGAAACACTGCAGGAACCATTTGGTCGTGTAAATCCCCGTGGTCATCTGTTCCTTGTCCTAGGAGACAGCAGAGACATGTGCCTCATCAGACAGGCTGCTGGAGGGGTTTGGAGCGGGGGGGTTGGTTGGTTGGTTTGTTAATGTTGGGTTCTGGGTCTGGAGGCTCTTTTCAGCTCCTTGCATCACTGTCTAACCCCAGCACGGTCCCTGCTTTAAACACCATCCCTGAAGGCCAAGGTAGGCCCTTTACCCAAGACATTCGCTGGACTCAGAGTGGGCTCACTTTATTTAAGTGGACTCACCAATTTAAGTCGCTCCAGACCTTCAGGGAGGAATTTCCATCAAACGGTTTACGGGGCTAACTTCTACTCCAGGAATTTGCAAGAACCTTTCAGGAGCCAAACCCCACGTACTCCTTAGCAATTAATGTTTCTGTTTCCATAGCAATCCCCATTCAAGCCTCCTAGAGCTCCACAAAAATAACTCACCACTAAGCAGCCTACCCGTAAACCCGCAGCTGTCCCTGTGCGCGAGGCCCATCTCGCTCGCGCTGCCCCGTTCACACGCGCTGGCCTCCCGGGTAAGGAATCGCCCCGACACCCCCCGCATCCACCGCAGCTGCTGGCTCTGCCTCTCCTGGTGACCAGGACCTGGGCATCCACCCGGGCAGAGCCACCCACGTGCCAGGGGGCGACCCCAGCCTTCCCAGCGCACGCTCCATGACAGCCAGCTCCGACAGTGCCTCCGAGCGACAGCCACCCACTGGGATCGCTCTGGAGGGTGCAGCACAGGCACGGACCCCCTTTCCTGGGGTGCCTGATTTTACAGGGAGCACCCGCCGCTCTCCAGCAAGGGAAACACATGTATTGGTACCCTGCCAATGGGGTACCTGACTCCCAGAGTCTCTTAATGAAGGTATTTTTTTTCTCGTTGCCTGGGATTTGAGTTACTCCCTCCTCCCTTTCCCCCCTTACGTGGCTGTAATTAAACAAGAGCCTGTCTTGGCTCTGTTCTACTTGCACAGGCAGGGCTGGCTCCTTCACAGCCCTGGCAGCAGACGTTTCAGCTGGTGGCCACGTGAACAGCTTGGCCTGGAGCCCTGCCAGGGAGCCCCCAGGAGCACAAGGCACCTTCAGGAGAGCCTGGCCCTCAACGCCAAATGTCTAAAGCAAATGCAAGGAGGGAGGAGGAGGAAAAAAAAGCTGGGTAGGGGAGCAGGTGTTACAAAAGAGCTGCCTCGCTGTTTGTCTGCAGCTGATGTTCCCGCAGCCACTCTCCCAGCCGACAAGCGGGTTCCCACCACCTGCCGAGGCGGGAAACAACCGGCCGCGCGGAGCCAGCTGAGCCAGCGACAGCCCGGCACGTCTCGCGCTCCTGCTCCCGGCCCGCCGGGCCTCTCCCGCTCCCGGCCCTGCAGCAGAGCCGGCCAGGGCAGTGGGAAACGCAAACCCAGGGCTGGCCATCATTCAGGAAAGGCTGGAGAGCTGCCAGCATCACCCCTTGGGTTTCATGACCAGGCTAAGAATATAGCCCAGCTCCACTGCTGAATGAAATAGCTCCTCTTCTCGCAGTCTTTATAAATCTTCCTGCCTGGCTATTTTAAGGAAGGCTGCACTACTGTGTGTATCACACACTGAACAAACGACAGCCATTCACTGCCACAACGTTCACAGATGAGCCACTTATTAGATATTTGCCTCTCCGCAGTTGAAATGCTTGCAGGTGATTAGGAATGGGCTTGGCAGAACATTACACTGATTGCTTTAACACTAAAATGTGACATTAGCGTGAAAGATTGATAGCAAAGAATTACCATGTGCTTCTTCAACTTTGGAAACAGTTTGCTTAAAATCTGCTCGTGATGAGCTTGAAATCTCTGCAGCTTTGGGAAGCCAGGAATGAAAAAACCTTAACAAGAAAAGACACAGAAGAAAACAATGAGAAAAGCAGTCAGAGGGGCAGCTTGATTTTCAAGCAACATCACTGCCTGTGTCACCTACTAAAGTCAGGGGGAACTCCAGGGAAGGAGTATCTTGCAACCACCACGCAACTTAAGCTCTGTGTGCACCTCTTCTGTTCTCATTACTTTATTTGGGCTACATGAAGCACCTGCACAAACCACCCCACTGTATCCAGACTGAAGCATCTAAACTCACCCCTGCAGAGGAGAGAGACTCACACTGCGCATCACCTGCCCCTCTGAGGTCAGACCCAGCGCTGGCTGTTGAACACCCCACAGCAGCTGGGTCAGGCACTTTCCCTGCCTGGCAATATGCTGCTGCCTCCCATCTCAACCAGGTTGGGCTGTTACTTCCCTACATCCCAACACATCCCCCCAAAAGCAGGGCTTTAGCAGCAAGTATAAAGTAAGATTAGAAGTGGGGCACGCTGGATTAGGGCTCCACCACAAAGGCCATCTCAAAATGGCAGATTATAAAGCCTCATCCTCCGTTTATAAAATAATCTGTGTGCACATATTGCTTTGAACCACAAATAAGAGGAAAGGACCTTTAATGTGGTTAAAGTAAAATAATATATCACATTTTGTAGCCATACAACTTAATAAACATAACAGGGAATGTAGCTCATAGCATGTTCAAAACAGAGCATTACATGGTGCTCTTGGATATACTTGTGTTAGACTTCTTAAAAACTCATAACCTTGAACTAATTGATCGCCAAGGGCAAGGCGCTCGGAAGGGAAGCTGTCCCCTCAGTGGAAGTGTTAATTACTGCGCATTAAAGCTCAGCAAAGATGAAGCACATTTCTCTGCGAGGCACCTGTCAGCCTCCAAGCGGGAGGCTCGGCTCGGTACGTAGCTTGCTTTGGCGTGTAATTAAACCTTACCTGCTTTCAACCAGCACGCAGCAGCCACAGGGAAAGCAAGGCCCTGCTGACCAAATAAAGAGCGACCTGCAGCCTTCTCCCAGCAAGCGCCCGTGGGCAGCAGCTTCGCTCCGCGCTCCCCTCCCGGCCTTACCATGCATGGCGTGCCGCTGGTCCGTTAGCAGCTGCGCCAGTGCCCAAAACGCGTCCTCTTCGTTTAAATACATCAGCAGGATGGCTGCGATCTGGCTCATGCCTTGGCAGTAGCTCACCTCCTGCAAGAACCGAGAGGGGCCCTGTGCTCACGTGCGCAGCGGCAGCTGGCCAGGCCTGCGGGCGGCTGCGCTTCCCTGCGGGCCAGGCTCCAGGAGCCCTGCAGTGCTGTGGCTTGCAACAGACACGCGTGGGGCGTGGGAAAGGCCCGTGGGGTGAAGCAGCACAATTCGCAGGGGGCTCCCCAGAGCCAGTGCTGCTGCTCAATTGCTCAGCCAGGGCTGCCAGCAGCAGCTGAAGCTGCCTGGGCCTCCCTGTCCTGTTTCAAGGTGCCACTTATTTATTTATTACTATCCGCAAATTCATAGCTCCCATGGGGTGAATACACTATGAGTGAAGATACTATGGTTCTACAGTGCCCCAACTGCAAAGCTGTAAAATCTCTGGGCACCATCACAGGACGGGTAAAGCCACCACATGAGCTTCTCCCTCTTCTCCCCAGTCTAAGGAGGGCACCTGGTTCCTGCTGACCTCAGTGGGAGTCGAGCTCTTACTGGGGCCTCTGAAAAACTTGCCCAAGTTTGACCACTGGTTGAAGAGCACCATCAAGATGCTCATAACAGACTTTAACAGTCCCAGATCTCAGGGAGGGCTCATTGCACACACTGGGAGACTTTACATGAAGCCAGAGCCCCCCTGGGGATCCCATCCCGGTTTGGACTTTCAGTTGTAACAGCTAAACTGGGATCCTGGACCTGGCTGCAGAGCTCTGCTTCACTTCCCGAGGGTCCCAGCCCACCCTTGGGGCTGGGTGATCTCTCTCCACCGTGAGGCCCCCTGAGCCAGCCCCACCAGCACAGCTTGAACCTGCAGGGTGGCCAGAAACAAACGCAAATCTGAGCTGCAAAAAGCCAATTCCCACATAGCGCCTGCAGCTATTTCAAGGAAAACTGGTTGGGATGATAAACAGCATGTGGCTCTGATGCTATTTTGGATTCTCTTAGCCATGCAAGCAGTGAAGTAATTACAAAAATAATCATCTGCTAAGCCCTTGTGTCTGAGGCAGGAGGAAAGGTCTGTCTCTTTGGCTGCCACCCTGGGCAGCCTGCGCCTTCTGAGGTAACCGTCCCCTTCCGGCAGGGCCTGCAACTAATTTAAGCCTATTTTGCCTGCATCCATAGCTAAAAACGACTGGTTCACTGCAACAAAACAGTGTTTCCAGCAACAAAGATGCAATTCAAAACGGGATGTATAGACAAGTTCTTTGACTAGGAGGCTGGTCTGTCAGGGAAGTCAAAGAGCAAATTCTTGCCCCATGCTGATGCTCATCCAAATCAAATTGCAAGATGCTGTTTGCAAGCGAGGAAAATGAAGGAGGGAATGAAACAGTGTGAAGAATCCAGCACTTATTCTGCCTGCAAATAGGACCTATTGAAGCTCTCTCTACAAAGTCACTCTCAGAGTCAAACTGGAATCACCACTGGCTCCACGGGGAAGGTAAACGGTGACTACAGGTTAAATACAACAGCAGAGATTCGCTTTAATCAGCCTAACTTCCTACTTACGGTGTTATAAACCGAGTACGCTGACAGCACGTGGAACAGCGCCTGTTGCCTAGGGACAAAGGAGGACAAGAAAATACTTAAGTGTAAAGTCTGAGGCTTTGCGTGCACACAAACACATACACATGGAGCAAAAGCTTTAAAAATAACCAGACGTACATCTTCTAGGAGCTCCCCACGAAAGGAACTTTGCACAGACAAGCACACAGCTGCCAGCTCCTCTGCAGGCAGCTGGGACGGGCCTGCTGCCTCCAGCGGGGCTGCACCTGGAGCTGCACACAGCGGGGCTGGCCCAGGCTGCCACATCAGCACATCGCCCAGGAGGGAGACGTGCACAGCCCCACAGGTGCCCACACGTGCCCTTTTCAACACACTTGCTCTTCAGGTTAGGCTTGGTGGAGATTTTATTGTCTCTTAGAGACTTGCAGCAGCCCAGATATTAAGTGTTACAAATCCTAGGGGCAAAATTTTGCCAGCATTGTTTATCAGGTTTCTCCTTTCTCCCTTCACTCCCTGCTAAAGGAACCATGATTGCATGTATGATAATATATGCTAAATAAGATATCGATAGGCAGTGCAGATATCCCTGTGTGGTATGTTCCTGTGCAGGCATCAGCCCTAGCTATTTAGGGAAACCATACTGCATCTCACCCAATTTTTCCCAAACTTCTTTAAACTCATCCATTTCAGAGACCGTGGAGGCTGCAGCTCGCCCAGGCCACATGGCCTTGGCTTCGATCCCTACCTTCCCACAAAGCTCCAGGGACCAGGCACTCAGGATGTGAAGCTGGTCCCATCTGGGGCCCTCCAAGGAGCAAGCAGAGAGATAAACCCATGAAACCCGTAACCTCGGCCCAGAGCACTGCTGGCTCCCAGCACCAGTCCAAGCCACCCCTGTGCTCCAGTACATGCTGGGTGGCACAGGGGTGGCCCAAGCTGGACAGCGGGAGGTCATGGTGCTCAGGTGACTTGTACCAGTCCCCCCTGGCCAGGGGACGTGTAGCGCAAGCAGCACCGCGCAAAAGGCCACACTCACTTCACTCCGTAGCGATCCCGAAACATGATGTGGTTTCGGAAGGTGCGGTTCACATCCAGATCGATCTGCTTGATTTCCGAAGAGAAGCTCTTCGCCTGTTCCTTCATTTTCTGGAGGGGACAAAGGGGTGGACAAAAGGAAAAGGTCAGACATCCATCCTCCAAGCCTATGCTCCTGGCCACACAGCCCCCTCAGAAGCAAAGGCCTCTTGCAACAGGACAAGGGGGAGCCTTTCAGTCTGCGACAGCCGCCACACGCACCGTTTGCGGCGATATCCCAGACATTCGGACACTGCCCCTTCGCAGGGAGCCAGGGCAGCCGGGGGGGACCTGTCTCCCCCTCTGCCCTCGGCTCCGTTCGTTGCCTTAACATGCAGAGCTGGGCTTGGCCAGGCTCTATCCACTATCCATGTGGTTCCTACTAAAGCATCAGCATTTTAAAGTAATCTATGCCAGCGACAAGCCGAGAGCCCCAGAACCGAGGCTGGCAGCAGAGGTGCCACACGAGAGCGCTTCGAGTGCCGGAAGCCCCCGGCGAGTGCGGCTGCCCCACGCTCTGCTCTGGCTCCTTGCGGCTCTTGGCCACGCAGCAGGAGAGCTGCGAAGGCCTCGCTCGAGCGGTGCCGAGTGAAGGCCCTGGCTCCTGCAGCCCCGTGCCCACAGCAAGCCGGGCTGGCACCATGAGGAGAGGGAGAGCTAATTGCCGGCGGCAGGAGGCACCCAGGAGGAGCAGGATTAGGAGAAGCTCTCAGGGATTTGAGCCCAGAAAAGCTCTTCAGCCCTGAAGCTGCTGTTCCTTATGGGCCCCCCGGAGCTCGGAGAAGCTGCCCGTGGCAGGGGCTCCCCGCAACGCTCCCCCCACACAGCTCAGCCTCCGGGCAGGCAGCGACACCAAAACCTGCCTGCCCGGAGAGCACGGGGGGCCCGGCCCACTGCGAGCCCCACTCACCACCAAAGGCTCCCGAGTGCCCTGCACCCTGCAAAGGCCTCTCCTCCTGCCCTGTCCCCATTCCCATTCCCTCGTGATGGCTTCACACAGCCGCCAGCCAGGATGTGCTGGCTCCAGCTCCATCCTGCAGCCACCGGCTCTCGTGCCGCCCTACCCTGGAGCTCTGGCTGTGCTGGCACAGACCTGTGCCCCGTGGCACCAAGGCTGCGCCAACGGGAGCTGGCCAAGCATAAACTGCAAGGGGAGGCGGGAGAGGAGCCGAGCTCTCGGCCAGGCAGGTACACAGCTGCACAGGGAAAAAGGCAGCGCAGAGCCAGCTAGGTGCTTCAAGTGAAAATGCCTCGGTTACAATAAAGCCCAACAGCCCCTATCTTGTGAACATGCATTCTGTGCACATGGCAGAATATTTTTAATTCACGCTAGAGAACCCTCAAAACCACTCACAGCATTTACTGCTCTGAAAAGCAGCACCAGGCATTAGACTTTGCTCCTGTCCACAGAGAAAAATCACATAAACTGATGAAGAGAGACTTTCAAGGTAAAAGAAAAATCACACCTGCCATTTCAAGGTAAGCTTTCAGCACTGCTGGAACAGCCAGCTTCCTGCTGCACACCTCAGTGGTAAGACGGGACGCTCCGCAAGTAGAAATCTCTGCACGAGTTCTCAGGAACTCAGCTCCATCCCTCCTTTAACTGGATTTCTTGGCTAAAGACCCTGCTTTTCTGCCTTAAATCTTCTGATTTTTTTCTGTGGTTTGTGACAAAACTCTAAGCCACAAGCAGAGCCTGGAGGCAGCTGCTTTCAGTGACAGGCCTGGCGAACTCCTGCTTTATGGTACCTCACTTGCACATACTCAAAATCATCCCAGGCAGCTCTGCAAAAAGCACCCCATGTCTTTACAGCTGAACTTTTCCTTTTTCTCTCTGAAGATGCAGTGACACCTGAAACATCTTTGCTAGCAACTTCCAGTAGGATACGTGGAATTAAATGTGTCAGGGAAAACAGGTGGCCCGGATTCCGGCCTAACACATCCATGGATAAAGACTTTATCCCCTTCCCGTTTTCAGCCTTCACTAATGTGGAGCTTTCACTGCTCCAAGGTCACAGCAGCTCATTGGGAGCTCGGGATGCTAGGACAGAAACGTCAGCATCCGTCCCGGGTCCGACCCACCTCAGCAAGCCGCAATCCCGCCCGGCTGCCGGGGCTTTGCCAGCAAGGCCTCATACCTCGTACTTCCCTTCGTTCTCTTTCTTCATCTTCTCGACATCCAGCAGCAGCGACCAGACCTGGCCTCGCACCTGGAGCGGGATCCCCTTGTACACTCGCCGGTGCATCTGCAAGGAGAAGGGTGCGCGTGTCGTGAGTGGCTTGACTCCAAAGCCGGAGCTGAACCACAGCCCTGGCTCTCCCCCTGGATGAAGGGGCAGCCTGCAGGGCGTCTCCTAAGCAAGGAGAGGGACAGGAAGAAACGTGCCTGCATCCCCTCCCACCTCCATGTGCTCACTCCAAGCATTTCACAGATGCTTCCTTTTTTCCCCTGTCAGGAGGCCCTCTCCCACTAAAGAGACCATTAAATTACAATGGGAAAAAAAAAAGAAAAAAAAAAAAGGCTTTTGTTTCAACCCTTGACTTCTCCCATTCAAATAACTTCAAATAAACCCTCGTATTTCTGAACGTTTTCCACCCATTCATCCATCTCGCCCTTGAAGTGCCTCCCAGCCCCACCACAGCACCCCCAAGAGGCTCCCATGCTCCCCAGGCCAAGGCCATGGGTTTGCCCCACACTGCCCAGGCCCCACTGGGCCGGCCGGGACCATCCCGCTCCGGATGGGACACGGGAGGCCGGGCAAGCTCCATGCCAGCACGGGGAGGTTGGAGCCCAGGCGGCACCTGGAGCCAGGCTGCGCTGGGAAGGGCCCCGGTGCAAAGCGTTGGCAAAGTTTCCCACGCACCGGCGCAGCTGCTGCAGTGTTTGCTCTCAGGCTGAATCACCCAAGGAAAACCCGATTTAAATCAGCCCCTAAGAACTGTCAGGAGAAGAGATACAACAAGACGAGATGAACTATTTTGCCCAGGCTGTAATGAGGAGGCGCCAGGGAAAGCCCGCGCCTCCGGCAGCTCCCTGCGATACGCAAAGCGACGGCCGAGGAGAAATGAAGAAACTGGAAAATGCTTCAAATCAGTCAAAGTTACTTCCCGATTTGTCGGCTTCCAACGCGCTACGTGAGACTGACCGACAGTTGCCAGGGTAGAACAGGACGATGCTGGAGTGCATGAGAAGCAAAGGGCTTTGTTTGGAGCCCTCGGGCTGCTCCTGCTGCGCTCCAGCACACACAGGCCCCGCCAGCAGAGCAAGCGTCGCTGCCGCTTCCCCATATGGGAGGGAGGGCAGCAGGAACAGGAGGGAGGGCAGTTACAAACATGTGGAGAGCAAAGCACGCTAAAAAGCCCCTCTGTTATTTATCCGCAGCCTTTCCTCCTCCCACCGCCTCCAGGAGCGAGAGCGATGAAACCCCAGAGCTGTGTGAGTCACCAGGAGCAGAAATGAGCAATTCTCCTTCTGTGTGATACTTGAAGGAAAACAGGGAAGTTATCACTAAGAGCAGCGATTACACTGGGATGAGATGAGCGTGGGAAGGCAGCAGGTGAGAGCTTCAGCTCAGAGCAGCTTCCTGCTTCATGTGAAATATGAACAAAACCCAAGGTCGCCCTCTCTTCTCTCTATTGAACAGCTGAGCACTTAACAGTCAGGGGAGAGCTCCTAGAGCAGGGCAGCTCCCTGTCCCAAGCAGACAGTGGCAAAGTCCAAGCAGGGAGGAAGAGCAAATATCGTCCCATTTCACAGAAACTGAAAGCTCTGTGGTCAAAGGCCACACTACAGCCAAACACTCAACTAACAGCATTTCAGAACTGGTCCAGGTTTGGCCACAGGACCATCTTGCCCTTCCAGGCTTTAACGAGACATAAAGCTTGCAACAGAGATAGGTCAGCATTCCTACCTTCCCTTCACCATATACTTTATTTCTTAAGAGCTAAGAGGGGGAAACCTATCAAAGCAGAGACTCAAGCTTTATCTTCCTGTTTGCATTTGAGACTTCCTCCAAAAAGCACCCAACCAAGCGCCCAGGCCTTCCAGCTCCCATCCCCGGGGGAACTTCCCGCTTCACCTCCTTTTCACATCAAAATGGGGCTGGGAGACGAGGTGAGCACCCCGCACAGGCGCCTGCGCGGCAGAGGGGAGCAAGTAGAGCCCTGCAGCTGCTGCAGCACAACGCTACCTGCTCCTCCTCATTCCCGCATCATTAGTGAGGAGACCAGGAAGGACCTTGCATGGAAACCCCAGAGCGTGCCGAGGGCAAGGAAGGGATCACACCGCTTCTAGAGCACATCCTTTGCCTAGTGGAAGTGAGCAAGCTAGGACGGGACATACACACCAGTCTAACCACATCCATGCTGTGAAACCCATCTCACTTATCACCCGTTTCTACCAAAACGCTGCCCTATATTGCTGCAAGAAGTGTCGAGAACAGGTAAGGAGACAGGCCTGGCGCGGTGACAAGCGCGAGCAGCCCCAGGGCGCTGCTTTGATTCCAACAACCTTATTTGTTGCTCATCCAGAAACAGGTTATGTCAGGCATAATTTTAGGTGCAACCAGGCCAGCCTTGGCCAGATACTACACAAGGCAAATCCTCCAAGGGGTTTCCAACCTGATCTCACTGACCAGCAGCACTTTGGGACTCATCCTCTAAGCTCTGCGCTCCTCAGGCAGGGAGTGCTCAGCAAAAACTGGTGCATGGGGCCACATGGGAGGAGCCACAAACAAAGTCTGTAACCTTCAAGACAGCTACAACCAGACAGCATACACACTGCTTCCCAGATCCTGTAAGCACTTCCCACGTAAAGAATAAAAGAAAGCAAAGAGAGGAAAAAAAGACATGTCTTGGGCTGAGAGGCACGAGGCAGCAGCAAAGGGAGAGCTCCTGGGATGGCTACTGGGCAGCACAGAGTCAAGGGCAGAGAGGGGAGGATGGAGGAGTTCGACCTACTGCTGCCCTGCCCCTCCCCGCCGGGATCCTGACCCAATTTCACCCCCTTCAAAGCCTGGAAATGGCCTAGACTTGGGGGTTCACACAGCAAGACTGATTACTTCCTGTAATAAACTGCAGTCTCACAATGAGCATCAAGGGAAAGCTCCTGTTTTCATTAAGATTTCAAGCAGCCACCCTAGTCTTTACTCGGACAGTAAGTAACTGGTGCCTCTTGACACTCAGGGCTGTCGCACACCGCCGTAATGCTGAAAAAGAACCTCAAAGTGCAATGCAGCTGACGGTCTGCTGCTCAGGGAGGGAGAAACACCAGCTGACCTGTGTTTTATAAAACACAATAAACCAGCCTGTTGCAACTAGCTTAACTAAAGCCAAGCAAACAACGCTCTGAAGATGCCCCTGCCCTCCCAACGCCACAGCGGCGGCAGCCTGGTCGCTCCGACGTGCAGCGCGCTGGACAGCGCCAGCGGCACCGGCCTCCCGGGAGTTCCCCTGGGCACCGGCCAGGCGGGACCGCGACCAAAGCTCCGCTCCCGGGTCACCAGTCTGCGCCCCTGCCCACGCACCAGCCGCGCAGCGCGTCATGGGGCTCCTGTCCCCTGCCCTGGCACGCAGCAAGGGCACAAAGCCCCTTCTGTGCCGAGGAGCCATGAGCCTCTCGAGGGTTGCCAGAAATACTAATGTCATTTATTCCCTGGGGAGAGCTCTATGATTTGGTGACATAGAGCCCTCTGCGCTGCTTGCTGGGAAAGAGCCTGCCTAGCAGCACCTCCCAGCCCCTGGGGCTGTGACCGGTTTGCAACTTTATTATTGGGGTCACAGGGAGCAAAGGAAGGGGAGAAAACCTCCAAGAGCCCAACTGCCAAATCCCCAAACTAGTGCCTGCACCACAGGACCTGAGGGACATCAACTGTTCATTACACAACTCAGATGTGCTTAAAAACCTGAAGGAAATCCCTAAACTTGTCTGGAATCTGGCATTTGATCCATGGGACCACTGACCAATTAGCGCTACTTCTAATTAGAGAAGGCAAGGCCACCGGAGAGTCCCTGTTTTTGACTGCGAATAGCACTGATGAACTAAATAATGAGAAAGAGTCTCAAGTGAACATGAGAACATGTGAACATGAAGATTAGAGAGTTCAAGCCTGTCTCTAGGCCCAATTCCTACCGTAAGGAAATGGAAGCGTTATTACCAATGTCAGGCGACGGCCGCGATGCGGGCAGGCTCGGCACCCCCGCAGCGTCGAGGCGCGCAGGCCAGGCGGCCGCTCTGCCCCACGGCTCTTGTGTGGCCCCTTGCTCCTCTCGGGGCTCACGGCTCCCCACGCACCCGCAGTCAAGGTGGGAGCAGCTGACATCGCCCCTGCACACAGCTCCCCTCTTCCCGTTCTGCCGAGGAGCGGGGCTGCAGAGTTTTCAGCACTGGACTCAACGCACAAGGTTGGCGCCTCCCTGCTCCCGTTTCGCAGCTGCAGGAATTTAACACAACAGCCTCCGCAAGCGGCTGACAGGGCTCTCGCAGCCACAACCAGGACCAGAAAACAAAGTTGAGGTAACGTCCAGGCAAATAAGTCTCCCCCGGGAGCTTTCCCTTGGGATACATATGAGGAATATTATCTGGGCAACAATAGCGACATCTGCCATGAGGTTCCCAGAGGGTAGGAATTCAGAAAAGAATTTCGCATGTAGAATTTCACATTTAGGAAACTGCTTTTAATAACAAAACACCCAATTCTACCCAGTAGTCTTTAATATTTAAAAAACTGTTGGGTTACCAAAAGAGGGTTCTGTTTTGATTAATACTTTCCTGTTCTTTTTATTTATTTTTAATCACTGTTTGAAAGCCTGGCCCATTTGAGGGATGCATCATTCGCACCCCCCTCCTTACACATACTTTGTTTTCCTCCTTACCTTCTCACTGTTCCTGTATTTGCCCCATTTCTTCAGCATCTTTAGCCACTTGTCCACTCGCTCAATTTCTTGATGTTTTTGCTGGTACAAGGGAAAAAAAAAAAAAAAAAATCAGAAGAGTCCCAGCACATACTTCCCAAAAGTTTAAATCTAATGAGAACGAGAAGCTTTGGCTGCTGAATTTTACCTTCAGCTGCATACAGGCACCTTGGGGCAGAAACAATCCCGAGGTGTTTGCAGGCTCCAGCAATTTTAAGGAACAGTTAATTAAGGGAGTGGTGCAAATCCCAGGGGAAAACGCGGGCTCTGTGCACAGAGCAGAGTGTCGGCCGGAGCAGCGCTCGGACAGCAGGGCCCTTCCCGTGCAGGCAGCTGCAGGCGCTGCAGACACGACACACCAGCCTGCCCCGGCTAACCAGCTGCCAGCAGAGAATCCAATTCTCGTGTGGCCAGCAGCCAGAGCAGGGGGCCCCTCTGAGGCTGGCAGTGCTTTTTATTAGATGACGGGAGGGAGGGGAGCCTCGCTGAGCACAGGGCCCACCCAACCCAGCGCGCTCCAGGCGAATGCCCCTCTCTCCGAGGCGAGCTTCCGTCCCCGGGCGGGCGGCCACCCCTGAGCTCCAAGCCAAACGCCTCTCCTCCCTGACGCTTTGACCTTAATCAGCCTGTGCACAAGCTGCGCTAATCCCCCTGCTCCTGCCTGATAAAGCCACTTTCTTTTTCATTCCTGAGAAAACATCTGGGCGGCAGGAGCCCTCAGTAATTACCGTGACACCCTTCGACCCGACGCAGCAGACTGCTGCTGTTTTCGACAGCTTCATTAACAGGGCTACGCTGTGCAGAAAGGGAGCCCCATGCTGCACTGCAGCAGCCCTTGCACAACAACCCACGGAGGTGCAATCAGCTGCTGCCCTCGTTAACCTTGCCCACACCCCCCGCTTGCAGGAGCTGAGGGTGGGAAGCAGCGTTACACCCACAGCCTCCTGTGTTTTTCCCCTTTTTGTGCTGTTGAGCAATGTGTCAAAGCGAGGAAAAAGTGATGGAGGCTTTTTCCAGGAGCAGCTGTATCCCAGCTCCCTCTTGCTTTAGGAGGTATAACTTTACTGCCGTGTGGAGGAGGATCAGGACCAAAAGCTGTGAAGTTAAAGCTCCAAAAGTTTATGAAACCAGAGACTTGGAAAGCAGCCATAAATAGAGCCACTGCCCAGAGGATCTCATTGCATCTTTGTATGAATTTGTTTTCACTTCTTACAGATGGAGCCCCCAGCAGGCACCAGCTGCCCGTTTCGCTCTTGCCTGCACGTTCATTTTGCTGAAGGCGAGACCCACGTGCCCCCCATGCCCCAGGGAGGACACAGCTGCCGCCTCTCACCTTCTCCTCCAGCGCGGTGCGCATCGGCAGCTCCTGCTCGCTGCAAAAACAAGGGTTCACAGTTTATTGGGGAGGCCGGCGGGGTGTGGAGCGCCCTGCGCTGCTGCCTCCTCCGGGGGAAGCACCGAGAGGCATTCGTGGTGCCAAGCACCTGGCTATGCACAGCGGGAGAAGCGGCTCCCAGGCATGGCACCTTCCCCTGCAGCACTCCTCCTGATGCCAAGGCAGAGGAACCACATAGAGCATGAGGGAGCCTGCCCAGGGCACAGAGCAAAAGGCCCCTGCCTTGCAGGAGCTGCTGAGCAAACAACACCAAGCACGGGAAATCCCAGGTTTAATCTTCTCTGCAACAGCCAGTTGATCAGCAGTTACAAAAAAAACAATCCTTGTGGGGCAATACAGTTTCCAAGGGAAGAGAATAAATAAGATTTACCCTTATTTATTCTTATTAATTCTTTTATTATATTCTTATGTATTCTTGTTAATAAATAAGCGGTTCCTCTGGGGAAAGACCAGACATGAAGCCACCAAAACCTGCAAGTCTGGAACCAGACTTCCCGTGGTAGGAAACAGCCCTTTCACAAAAGCATGTGGAAAGATATTCTCCAATCATATCTAAGCCCTTCCTCCCAGCTGATTTGCCCCAAAGCCTTTTAAGAGGCAATGTGATCATTCCCAGGCAGTCAGACTGCTCCAAGCCTCGCTGCTGATTCAAACCAGAGCATTTCCATGTGTGTGGGTAAGGGAGGGGACACATTCATTCCTCCTTTCTAAATCTGGGACTGATCAGGCCAAGCCAAAGAGCAGCCTGTAGCAGAGATGCTGCAATCTGTTATACTTTGTGCAGAACAGTGTCCTGAACGAGCACGTGAAGGTCTCAAGGACAGCAAAGGAGCGGGGACTTACTGCAGGAATCCAAACCGGTCGGTAACCTTATACAGCGCGAAGTCGGCATCTTCCCACGGATCAATCTGAGTTCCTTCCTGCCTGCCCTGCAAAGCAGAAGAGATATCGTGAGCCACCCCGAGCAAAGGAGCAGCCCAGCCAGCATCTGCACTGTGCTCTTAGAGATGGGGATACATGGCAAACTCTGGGAAATGCTTTGTGCAAGACAACACATGAGCACAAGCAGACAGAGAGCTGGACAAGCCCAGCAGGAGCCAGGAAGGCTGCTGAAGCACCGGCCTGACTCCAGGCATGGAAAATGCCCAGCACAGGAGTGCCATTATCCTAGGGGTTGCCCAAACACTAAGAACTGGTAGCAGAATGCCCAGTAAAGGCCTTGGGCTCTTGCAGAGCAGCTGAAAACAGACCAAGCTGCTCCTACGGCCGTTACTCAGATGATGACTGGAGCACTACTGTGGCAATGCCTCAAGGGAGGCAGAAGCTTCTGGTCAAAGCCCTCCCGCCCGTGCAGCTCCAGCCCTAGCAAGCGCAGCAGGGAAAACACGTGAGGTTGGTACCTTCTCATACTTGGCAACGATCTCCGCTTTTTCCCGGGCTATGAAAGTGTCTATGTCTTTCTTCATGTCAGAAGCTGTAAAACAGAGAGAGGGGGGAAAAAAAATAAGGGAGAAAGGAGATAAGTAAATGTACATGCAGCATGAGAATTATTTTAGGAAAGTGCTGATAGAAAAAAGCTCTGCTGACAACTTTAACTTCCAGCCTTATCCCCCAGCTGAAGTCAGGCCCAAGACTGAAGGACATTCCATGTAGAGTACACACAGCACTCCCACAACCACACGTGCCTGCCAGGCACCGCGCCCGGGGGTATTCTGCAATAATCTGCACGGGCAAATGCCAGAGAAAGAATTCCACAGAATCACAAAATGGTCCGAGGCTGAAAAGGACGTCTAGAGATCCTCCAGTGCAACCTCCTGCTCCAGCAGGGACACCCAGAGCATGGGGAAACAGGGTCACATCCAGGTGGGTTTGGAAGATCTCCAGAAAAGGTGACTCCACAACCTCTCGGGGCAAATTACAGAGAGCAAATTACAGAGCAGAGCAGTTCCCTGCAGGGAGGGCTGCAAAGGAAAGGTCGGTGATGTCCTTCTCCTTCGACACTCCCAGGACTGCTCCATTCCCAGGACTCGGTGGCTTTTTCAAGTTCCTCTTGTGCTCCTGGCACGAGTTACAGGCCAGGATGAGCCCTCGAGCAGCGATGCTGCAGTACCACCTGAAAAAGGCAAAGCAAAGCCCTCCAGAGTCCTTCTTGCTCCTCCAGGACAAGAAGTCTCGCACGGAAAGAAGGTATTTCAAGGAAATTGTGGACTAAAACTGAGTAGCTTAGAGTTTGGAAAATTAGAGAAAACATCTTTGAGCAGCTTGCTAAAGAGGAAGGTGACATTTTGCCTGCTTTAAGGAGATTTTGCCTTTTTTGCTTGCTGCAAAAAGGTCCAGTAGAGCTGGGGCGGGGAGGGAAAGGGGGAGAGAACTGTTAAAACCTTAAACTGTTTTCCCAATTACGACATTATGAATCACCCAGTGACTCACCCAGAGCACCTGAACACAACACCAACCTTAATATTTCATTATTACAGTCCAGAGATTTGATGGGAGGGCTTGAAAGAAGCTCCTGAGAGCACAGAGAGGGCCCAGCAGAGCCAGCTTGAAAGTCTCCTTGACAAAACACCAAACACATCCCACCAGCCGGCACCCTGGCTGCATCCGCGTGGCAGGAGTCGGGATTTCGCCAGGATGATCAAGATGAGCCGACGTCCAGGTGCCTCTTCCTACCCTTCTCCAGGCAACACGGTCCTGCCCCTGCTTTGCACCCCGTGGCCAGCAGTGGGGACAAATGAGAAACCCACCTCCTAGACCTCTGTGGGCTGCAACCCCTGCCAAAAATCCCTGCCCGCTCAGGGCACTTAGTGCAGGAGGCAGTCACCACCCTGCTTCTGCAGGGGGAAACGTCCTGCAGGGCAGAGCTGTGGGGAGCCCCTTGCCCAGGCCCTCGGACATCACGGAGGGCTCGCGGCCTCACACAAACCCCATTCCTGGTCGGTCCTTCATCTCAGAAGTTTAGCTCAACTAAGAAGTTTAGCTCAACTTCACTGCCTCTTTTCTTATGTCACTGTTTGGGCTGTTGTGGGGCTGCATGATTCAAATGAGGCCCTTTTAGGAGCTGCTAAAAACACAAATATTCTGTAAGCTGGAGGCAAAAAAAAAAAACAATGTCAAACTCGAGGTGCAACTTTTCAACATGTTTATGAAGTGGAAATTATTCTGCATGTTGCTGACCACACACTGCAAGACAGCGACCAGAGGAAGAGGTATTCGGTAACAGGGGAAGGTTACAGAGCAGAAACAGACAGCGAGACCACATGTATTTTGGCTTCAGCCCATCTGAAAGGCTCTCTGAAAACAGCAATGGGGGCAGCCACTTGTGCGTCTCGCATCTGCAAGGGGCCTATTTGCTTTCCCTTTACAGTGACAAAGGTCCCTGGGTTGAAGGGGTGCCACCGAGGCACTGCACCAACTAAAAACGTGGCCCTTCAAAAGCTACAGCCTTTGTTTGAGGGGAATAAAAAAGTTTTCATGCACACAGTGTTAACACATTTATTTTCTGCAGAGTTTGAAGAAAGGCCACCTGCCAAACACTGTGTGCAGGAGACTGAAATGCAAAAGACAACTTACATATTGCAATAGCAAAGAGAAGCAGAAGTTTCAATTATTCAAAGTTCAACTAGGAAACAAGTTTACCACTGGTAACCAGGTTCTGAATTAAGAAAGGAATAACTGCCTCTGGTAGCAATACATCAAGATGTGTCAGCCAAAATGCACATAAGGAAGAGTGAGGTATCTCAGTCTGTGCTCCTTCCCTAGAACATAACACAGTCACTTCAGCTTTATGACAGGGCTGTACCTGTTGCGCTAAGAAAAGGTAAGCTTTGTGAGAGCAACCCTTCCCTCAGCTGAAATTAGGGATGTGCACCAAGCCCCAAACCAGCACGTCCTCCCACAGAGGTGATAATGAAAACAGCAGGGCAGGAGGCAACCGAGAGACCCTGGCGAGGGCCGGCGGCCGCCTGCAGCCCTTGTTCCTCCCAAAGCAGGAGGCAGCTTGGGCTGCAAGGTGGAGCAGGACCCGCGGGGACCGTGCGTGCCGCAAACATGCTGCAAACACTGCAGGGCACCTGCATCGCGCCCCAGCGAGGAGCCACATCGTCTCCATTGCTCCCAAGCACAAAGGGAGTTCTCCTGCTCATGGCCTGGCCCAACTGGAGGCAACACCACAGCAGGACAAAAAAACAGGACCACAGGCGAAGATGACACCTTCAATCCAGATGAGAAGAGGCTGAGAGATACTCGGGTTTTGCTCACTGAAACCTCTCTGACCTGCTAGTAAAACATGTGCCCCTCTAGCAAGACATGCGAGGTGCATGTTCACAGATGAGGAACCAAAGAGCTAGACATGCGAGTATTTTGATCCAGGTGTTGGGCTGCATCCTGGAGTCCTCTCACCCTTGACTGCCAGCCCAACCAGGAGTGAATCTCCCCATGCATGCTGATCTTCACAGCAGATGGATCCCACCTTGCATCCCATGCTGTTCTTTCCAAAAGCCCAGGAAAATGCTTTTCCCATCCCCTCTGCAACCTCTCTGCTCTCATCTGCCCTGTCTACCAGCAAGGGCAATCTGCTTTCTCACCAAAGAAATTACAGTTCAGCTCCCTCTAGGCTACTGTTTGGGGAAGAACCAGGCCAGGCCACCTCCTGCCAGAGGAGCTGCTTCACTGAGGCCACATCCGCCACCCTCTGCTCACCTGCGCAGGACCCTCCACCCTTGGGTGAAGGCAGGTGCCCAGTTTCTACAAACAAGGAGACTAAACTCCCCCGAATGGGGCATCTCCAGGCAGAGTTTTTTCTTCCAAAGGTCCAGCTGGCTGTGGTGTAAGGACAGAGATGAGGACAGAGGCAACGAGGAGCTTGCAGAGGTGCCACGGGCGCTGCGTGGGCAGGCACACATCAGCCTGTCCTGGGGTATCCAACAAGGAATTCTGTTGAACCACCAACAATTAGGAGACCCAGCTCCTCACAGACCTTCCCTCAAAGCAGGGCTGCCCAGGACAGAGAGCAACTCCCACTTTTTGCGCTGAGCAGCTGCAGTGATGTTACACTGACAGATTATTCTTCGCACCAGCAGGCTGTGAAAAAACAAATTTATTTTGGACCTTCCCATTTTTACCACCAGTTGCAGGCAGAGCCCATTCCTCCAGGCACCTTGAACATGCTCTTGAGGAGCTGAAGCTTGTTGGCAAAATCTCCCCTTCAAAGCATTGGGCTTCTGCTCTTGGGCCATCAGGCAACTAACCCCCTAAAGCCACCACAGCAGCCACTACAGCGAGCGCACGGCAAGCGGGACACGGGCATCCAGTGGAGAAACCTCAGCAGTCCCTTCCCACGGGCAGGGCCGTCTCAGCCGCCCGCACGTCTCCTCCATGGGCCCCATCCCTGGGGAAAACTTGCACAACTCGCTCGGCTAAGCGATGGTAACTTCTTCCAAAACTACAGGCTGACACTGCACCCAAGCCCACGGAAACACACACGGTCTGAACCAGTCTGTGCCACTGCAAAGAGCAAGGCAGTGAAGCCTGCTCTCCTAAAGAGGAAATGACAAGTTTGGTTTAAGCCTGGCCAGAGTTCTCCGTGTGCTCAATTACCTACTACTAGAAACTGTTGGTGGCCAAAAATAAGCAGATGTGAACGTGCGTGCACGAACACCGCCACGCAGACAGCACGCCAACGCGCGCCAAACAGACTCAGCACTGCCGGAGACCGCAGGCACAATGCAAGAAGCTTAAATCTTTGTTCCTGCTTCACAATCTACTTTAAAAGAACATTTTAACACACCACTGGTAAGCTTTTAACTGTCTCTGCTATAAACTAATCCCTTGAATTTTCCTTTGGGGAACACGCTTAACGGAGCCGAGCCCCGAGCATTCGGTGCTTAGCCGGCACGCCTGCACAGCCGGCGCTGAGGGGGCCGAGGCCCGCAGCACGAGGCTCCCCCACAGCCTGTACCTGCTGCCTCCTGGTTGCTGCGCTTGCCAGGTACCAGCTTCAAGGGAGCAGCTACTGCACTTGCCTGCACAGAACAGGCAGCGTAAGAGCGCCGTTTCAAGAGTGCAGTTAAAAGGAAACACATGGCTACGAGAAGTTAAGCTGCCCTGATATGATTTAAGTACACGAAATGGCTGCTTCAAGCTATTAGTGCTGTCAGCTCACAGCAAGTGACACACCCTGGCTTGTGGAAGGGAGGGACGTGGTGATCAACGGCCAGTTGCTAGACCAAGGGCAGCCTTAAGCAGAGGATCTTCTGCCTAGGAAAGTCAGCAGAGAAGCTGAAGGGTTAAGAGCCACCAGACCAACCTCGCACCTGCAGGTAACAGCAGAAGAGCTTTGGATCTTCTGCATTTCCTTGTGTCACAAAACCCTGAAGCCTCCTAAGACACCTGAGAGGCCAAGTAGAGAGGTGGAGGGGCTGCCGCGCTGCCAGCTGCCGTGCCAGACACTCACGTACAGGCTGGCGCGTCCAGGAGATTGTGGGCAGCTTTCACTGCCCATCAAAGTGCCACATGCTGCTGGACACGAAAAGAGGCCCAGGTCTTTACAGCACGTAGCGAGCGTATTTCCTCAGGACAGCTACAGGGGCCGGGCCACACGCCTGTGGTCCTGCTTAGGCTGTTCCGTCACCGCCAACTCCAGTGTCACAGCTGCCTCAGCACTTCTATTAGAAATCCAAGGCAGGAAATAACAATCCAAAACAGAGAACTCCAAACCCCTTCATAGAGCCATAATAGTGGCTTTTGGAAAGTCTGATTCCCCAACTTTTAAGATGCTTGTAGAAGACATATTTAAAGTGCCAGTGTCTGAGCAGCATTAGGGACTGCAGGCCCTGCATGGTGGTTGCATCAAGGGCATCCAACAAGGTGTTCCCATCTGCAGCTCCTCTCCCATTAACGAAGCCAGGCACCGGGGTTGTAACAGCCTATCTCACAGAAGGCAAACACCAACTTCAAAACAAAGTCACAGGGCTACAGGGCCAGGCAAATATGCTCCAGCAAAGGAAATCAGACTGGCACTCACAGCAAATTACGCCCTCAAGAATGAAATTACGAGCCGGCAGGATGAGCTGAGATACAGGAGATCCTGTTTGCATGTTTATTTCCTTGACTACAACAAAACCCAAGAGCACACAGGCCTTAAAGGATGAGAGAGAAAAAAAAAAAAGGCACACCATAAGGAGTGCTAAAGCAGCTGAATTCACCTACCTTGGGGTTGCTGGAAATTATTGCACAATTATTATTTCATATGAGTCACCTGATATGTTACAAAAAGTTCAGATAAGCTCCTGCCCAAATAAGTTTGCATCACTGCACACTGAACAGCAAAGTTACAGCGATCCCACCAAAACATACTCATCTCCTTAGCAGAGGTGTTAGTAGAGGTCAAGCAAGAACCTCTGCTACGGGCAGGCTGGACGTGACAAGAAGTGTCCCCCAAAGCCCCCATGCAGACCATGCAGTTCTGACGCAAGGTACCAGTGGGAATCCGAACTGTTCCACTGCAAGACCTGTGCTCAGAGCGCTCACACCAGCTTCTGGATTGCCTTTGCCATAGGAAACCCCGGGCAGCCCAAGCGCGCAGGCTCTTACCTGAGCTTGCGTCAGGTGCCAGGAGGCATCAGCTCAGCTGGAGCTGCTCTCTCCCTCGGGGCATCTAACTGGTGGGAAGCTTTCCCAGCGCCGAGCTGCTTGCTTCTGCCATAGATCACGACAGCCGCCCGTCCTCAGCCGTCACACCCTGCCGCTTCCAAGCCTCGTCCTTCCGGCTGCCGTGCGCATTCCCAGATCAGCGTCACGGCGCTCCGCTCCGCTGCTCCTGTGGACCGGCACTCACAACCAGCGCCTGGGAGAACAGGCAGCCCGGGAAGCTCTCTGAATGCCGGCTCTCTCCACCTCCAGACTCACTGCAAAGGAAGCAAGTAGTGGATAAGCTTCCCGTTTCTCATGGACATTCCCTTCCCCTCTGCCAGTGCCAACTGCCTTCACGAGCAAAGGGTTAAACACGCTTTTCCCGTGGAAACATGCTACAAAGGGTTAAACACACTTTCCTGTTACAGTTGGAGGGCCTGGCACTCAGGACGGCTGCACTCCCCACTGCTGCCCCAGCATTTCAGAGGCATGAGGGGCTGCCCAGGAAGGGGAGCACAACGGGGGGCAGCTTCAGACCCCAGAGAACAGCAGCGCAGCAAGCAAGTCCTGGGCTGCGACAGTACAGCCATTTCCACGTGGCACCACGAGCAGCCGGGCGAGCTCTGGGACGGGACGCAGAGGAAGCCACCAAATCACCGGCGAGAGGGCAGGCACAGGCGGCAGCTCCCTCCCCAATAGCCGCCTATGGGAAGTGCCTACAGGTTGGCTTGTCCCGGGACACACTGGCTCTGCAGGGAAGGAACCTCCGGCATCAAGTAACCTCCGGCTCATTCAACCGGTGAAAACCACCCCTACTTGCCGTGCAGAGCGCGCGTTGGCAGCCCCGCCGCCGCGCCGCAGGGCCTGCCTGGTCGCAGCACTCACGTGTGGCCCCCTTCCCGACGCGGTCTCGCGGGGTGCCGCCGAGCCGAGCCGCAGGGAGAGGCGCAGGCAGCCAGGCGAAGGCTTCAGGAGAATTACTGCCACAGCGGCTCCTCCCTGCTTATCCGGCAGCAGGCAAGAGCCGAATGGCTGCGGCGTCAGAAAAGGGCTTTAAAACACGCGCTAAACCCCCTCGGAGCACAACTGCTCTTCTGCAAACACTTCTTCAGCAGTGCCTATTTTTAGCCCTCAGAGGGAATAAAGCCACAGCCAAACATTTGTTTTGGGCTCTCTCTTTGCCTGGAACTCATCTCTACCAGGCAAAAAAAAAAAAAAAAAAAAAAAAGGAAGCAACATGAATTTTTCCTTTTTTTTTCCTTTTTTAAAGTCTCATTATTGCAGCAGTTCCTACCCAGGCTCACTAGAGCAAGAGAGGCAAAGTGGAGAATGCAGAAGGCTAGAGGCTGCTTTGGGAACTGAAGGCTCATTCTCCCTCCGCTCTGTCTCCCCTCCTGCCACCAGTCCAGGGTCTGGCCAAAGGGCCCAAAAAACCTGAAAAAATCCCCTTCTTTTTGGACAACCAAGGGGCCTGGAAAGCAGCTGGAATGCCAAGGGTGTCAGGAACGAACTTCTTGTGTTGCTTAAGGCTGCAATGGAAGTTTACGTTTCTCCAAGTGTAAACTACAGGCAGCTACAATATTGCTCCTGCTCCCCTTCACTGCCGACCTGGCGAATCGGAAGTGTGTTCCCGCTGCAGCATCCAACAAGGCACATCTTAAGGAGCCATTAAGTACGCAGGCAAAACCACTTACTGGCAGCTGCAGGGCTGCAGGCATTAAAGACTAATCTGGGCCGACTTTGGGCTTTAGAGCTGGAACGCAGACAATCCCCCAGCGCGGCCGGAAAGAGCAGCAGCGGCAGCGCTCGAACGCCGCGGCCGAGCAGGCCAAACCGCAGCACGCTGTTCATCCCGGCGGGGCCTCCCAGGGAAACGGGCCCAGACATAACCCGAGGGGCAGGCGGGATCAGCAGCGCTCACCCTGCCGGGCACCCGGTCTCCTCACGGCCCCGTCTCACACATGGCTACGGGATGGGCCACCACAGCAGACGTGCAGGACCCTAAAAATCCAGACACAGGAGGGGACGACTCGTCTGTGGCAAGCTGGCAGCACCGAGCCTTTCCAGCAGCTCCCAAAGACAGCTCGGGATGCTCCTAACCGCGGTGGACTTCTGTTCCAACACCCAAGCCCTGGGCAGTCATATTGAGCAGCAGAGAATCTCTGGAAAACAGGAAGCATTTGATCCAGCACTGGAAGGGACTGAGCAAGTGTCTCCCAAAGCACCGCAATCTTCTGCAGCCTTGAAGTATGTGCAGTAACATATTAGGATACAGGAAAGTTTTAAGGAGTGTTGAGGCAACTTTTTTTAAATTGCGACATAACCTTATCCTTCCTCTGCTTGCTGATATCTCCTCAAATTATTCAGCCTCAGCAGCTGCAGGAATTTTTGCTATTTTATGCAAATGCAACATTTTACATCAACAAGCCAATTTAATGGTTAAGCTCCCTTTGCACAAATCTTGTGCACAGGAAGTCCTCCCTTCTCCTTTAATGGAAACTCTGGTTATAAAACCCAGCTGGCCGGAGGACTTGAGGCAGCTGAAGCCCTGGGGACACTCCTCTGGAGACCCTCCTTGGCCTACAAAGCTGCAGTGGCACCAAGGCCATGGAGAAACTCGCCAACCTTGAGACCGATATAAAAATAACTTGAGTGTTTTGCTGGTGCCTGTGCTTTAAATATCACCCAAACAAACCTGGGCTGTGGGGAAGCAGTGTGAGCACAGCCTGGACCCCTATCCAGGAGCCCTTCCCCACCACGCACAGCACTCTGGAGAGCAGCCGTAGCAGCTCCTCGAGGAGCCTGGCGAGGGCTGCCACACACGTAAGGTACAAGGAAAGTACCTTACGCTCATTAATAGCACGTGCTGTTCTATACTGCTAATATAATGTGTATTACATACCTAGCTAAGCCCCCAGTGTCCCCGGCTCTCTTCAGAGGCTGCTCTGACAAGCATGGACTCGGATTTGAGGCTTGCTGCCCCTGCTGCTTCCCCAGCCTGTGCTTTGAAACCTCCTTGGATAATCGCACAGCTGGGCCAAGGCAGAGACTCAGCGCCGGTGACCCAGAGTCATCCCAGGGCTCGGCAGGAGCCGCAAGACGCGGGAAGCGACGGCCACAGCCCGAGCTCTTCACACTGGACGTCCGCAACTGGGAGCATGGAGGTCATTCCCTATCCAAAGCAGGGCAGACAAGCCAGGCGCCTCGGGAAGGCGCCAAGGTGGGAGCCTGGGGACGAGGATGAGAGGCAAGACCTCGTTCTTCTGCTTCTCTGAACAGCATCTTCAGCCACACAGGCCTGAGAAGGCAGCCAGGGGAACTGCACAAAAACCAGCACTCAAAACCACCCTGCATTATTACTTCCAATTATTGTTTTCCACATCCTCAGCATTTCCAACAGCAGCAGGGTAAAAGCCAGGCAAAGGGGACCACAGATTTATTAGCGAAAATGCCTGAGAAGCAATTTTTCCAGCAAAAACTAGATAGAGGAGATAGATGACACTGCACATGGCCGAATTACAAAAACCGAGGACCGTCTTCCTCCTGGATGAGGCAAAAAGCACAGGGAAGAACTTAAGCAGGTGAGAGACTGGCACTGAGAGACCAGTTCTCAGTAAGAGAAAGGGAGCCACATCCTGTGTTGGGGTTAGAATATAAATCCTATTCTTGCTCCAGTGGCTCCCATGCTGTGCTCGGCAGAGCCCAGGAAACCCAGGAACTACGCTGGGCTGCTCTTCTTGGGGACCTTTTTTATTAAAAGATAAAAAAAAAAAAAAATCCTTAAAGAAAGGGCAGGAGGCCCAAAACTGAACGCAGCCGAAAAGGCGCTGTCCAGACAGCGAGAAGAAAGCGCTAGGACCGCCCATAAAAAACAGCAGCCATTTCCCACACATGTTGTTCCCCCCAGGAAGCAAAGGAAAATAATTCAAGTATTTGCTGAGTTTCAAAAGGACAGCGAGAACAAGACAGCCTCAGTTAGCCAAACATGTGCAACTTGAATTTGGAAGAGGAAATCCACTATGATGGGGACACTGCACCTCACACAGTGCTTCTATGTTACTCCGTGCAGGTGAACATTAGAGCACTTCCAGGAACTAGACTGTTCACTTCAACACACACATTAATTGGTTTAATTGCTACAGGAAACATCTGAGAGCAGGGCAATGATTTCTCCCATAGTTTGGGAAGAAAGAAAGTTTAAACTCCAAGAGCACATCCTGAGAAAGTTGGGCGAGTCCCGGGGCACAGCCTTTGCACATTTGGCTCTCTGCAAAAACAGCTCAAAATAGGGAAGTTGTCAGGCGGTGGCAACCTGAGAACAGCAAAAGATATTTTGAAAGGAGAGAAATAAATAAATCACTGCTACTTTCCTCAAGTAAATAACTAGGCCTGAACTCCAAACCAGGGTTAGAACATGACTGCAGGCCTTGAAGCAAGACTTAGAAATAGAAAAGCAGAGGCACAGGGATAGGTCAGAAGGGAGCCTGTTTTTTTCCTTTTACAAAACATCCAGGGTAGGAGCACTGTTAACAGGGTCCTCCTTTCAAACACTTGCCCTGAAGGGCACAGAGCAACCAAGTTCACCCTGGCTGGAGCTCGCAGGGCAGCTGTGGAAGGCACCAGGGGATGCAGCTGCAGAGCCAGCACCGCGCCAAGGCCGGACAAAGCAGCTCTTTGCTGGGCTGTGTCAAGCACGCAAATTCCTTGTATTTCGTGTGCAACATCCCCAGACTCCTAGCTCTACAAGATGAGATTCTTACACTATTGCATATTTTCAGCATTTGTGTCCAATGTGTCCATCAAGCGTTCTCTTGATAGGCTCTCTTGGCCCACTCTTCTCCAGTCATCCCAGACCTGCATTCCCATACTAGCTGGCTGGGCACAGCCCTCCCTGGCATCCAGTCCAGGAGCTAAAGACTCCCAGACCACATCCGTGCAGCACAGACACCCATGCTAGCACACACACACCCTCAACCTGCTCGTGGTGCCTCAGATACCACCCCGGGCACCTTGGCCGGGCACCCAGAGCTGTCAGGGCATCTCCAAGCGCTGCCACGTTTAGTGGGTTGCAGCTACCTTCACAGCGCGGCTGAGCGTCTGCAAGTGCCACCCTGCAGTACCCAGGAGGGGCAGGAGCAGCCCGCACGCGAGCCAGCCACCATGGTAGGTCACACGCTACAAGCATCACCTCGGGGCTGCTTTCCATCAAACACACCACTCCAGCCCCGCTCCTCAGCATTTC